GTATATTGCTAGTAATGGGGCTATTTGACCCTATTACTAACAATTCCTCTCAATCTCAATTATTAGTGGATAATTGTCGATGTGAATGTACACATATGTATGATATAGTTAATATAGATAGGCCAATGTGAGGTAACTGAACTTTTTACTAATTGATTGATTGTATTTAAAGGATCACCTTTAAAATCATTTAATGATGACGATTTGAATAGACCAGTATATTAACATCATTATGGTTATATCAATTTATATTTAAATATTTTTATGATCCGTGTATTACGTTTTTAATCTTCTTGGTATTGCTTTAGCTCTCTAGAATATTCCGCCTTGAACCATACCTGTACCTACGTATATTATAATTAAACAAACTGTTTATAACAAGGCAATATTTAGTGCCACCTATATATGTGTACATATATCACTTAACTACCAGTTGGTCATTATATTTATATAGGTATTACGTCAAAGTGACGCAAATGGAAATTATAATAAAGGCAATATTAACAATTTTGTAAACAAACGACGGAAAAGACTTAAATTTTTTTTGTCGTTTTCAATAAACGAATTAACACGTTCTATTTGTAGATTTGTTTTTAATCAGAATTAAAATAAAAGATTAACTTTTAGATTCGTTTATAACAAATGTTTATTTTCAGAATAATGTATGAGATTTATCTTCTAAATAATTTTAATACATATTGACGGCCCACTTGATAGAAAACTATTCGCGTCACCTAATGTACATGGAAACTACCATACACATTAATTCCAATTTAACTCGTAATAACGTCGAAATTCTCATTAACCTATTTTAGTTATTGAAGGGTTTTGTCTTTTACATTCGCACAAAATTTTTAATATGAAAGAAAGTGTCAAAACGCTTAAATAGGCTTGTAGAAGGTTTTAGTTTTTACGAATTTTATTTTTATTTCAGCCGTTAACTGTCCACTGCTGAACATTAGCCTTCCCCATAAGGGGAGTTTTGCCAGTAGTTGCCATGCTTGGCAGGCGAGTTGGCAACCGCAGTTAGGCTTTTAAGAAGGACGCTACTGCCCATCCCTATACCATATGTTCCCTTAGTCGCCTCTTACGACACCCACGGGAAACGAAGGGGTAGTCCGTTCTATGCCGGGACATACACGGCAAAGTTTTTATGAATAAGGCGGTTAATCTATAATTGTTACTTATTATTATAGTCTATGTATTCTACAGCAGTCAGACGATTTAAGCAAGTATTGCTTAAACCCTCTGACCTCTGACCTCATACCGCGATTTCCGCATGCAGTATCTACTAGTTTAATTTTACGCATCCCGCGATTTCGACGTGCACGCATTTTTTATGTGTGTTGACGTTGTTGTCCCGCGATTTTTGTTTTGTAATGGCTAAATATTCGTATTGCTATTTGCTGTCAAAACAATGTGCGAAAATTAATGCAAAAAAAAAACGCAGTCAGAGGGTTAATATTATAAATGTAAAAGTATATAAAGTTTTAAACGGCTGCATACATTTGACTGGAAATTGGTATATTATTTTTAAGGCAGTAATAGTATAAGAATAAATAATCTTACGATAATTATTACTAATAACTATTTTCATTCCAGTTAGTATTAATTGATTATCCTGGTATCGCTAACGAAGTCGCGGATATCAACTAGATCTTATTAAATATACTATACCATCAAAATTTGTATACAGTAAGTGGTGCTTGAAACAAAGAAATTACTTATGCTATAGAATATGTTAAGACAGTCGTGGATCAAAAATTCAAAAGCAAATAAAATATATGAGTCTCTCATACTATACAACAACTGAACGTGTCGTGTAGTATCGGACGCTTAAAAGCATTTGTCGTTTTTCGACCCACGTTCCTTTGGTGATAATGTTCGGATTCGATGACAGAACACATCCTTCAGTGGATGTTTACGATTTCGATTTCATTGTGTTACCTACCTATTTGTTATACTTGACATATTTGTCACTTTGTGAATTGACTTTGGCTTTGACCAATGACCTGTATATTTAATGCGCAAAATTTATTTATCACTTTGAAATTAACTTGTAGAATACTCATTACTGTACTATTGTTGTAGCTATAGATACTGTAAATCGAAACCATATAAGTATTTTCAAGGAAATATTTATAATTATCTAGATATTTCACGTTTATCTAGATCCATTTGCAAAGGATTAGATAAGAATGTTTATATTTATTACCTTTACTTAACTATTTAATCTAAATATATTTTCAAGGAGCTACTACCGGGTTAGATGAATGTCCAATTATATAACTAAAACGATTAACAGTAAATTCAAGTGTAAATATGTAGGCAGGTGTGTCATTAATATGTTGTATACTAACGATAATATATTTTTAATTAGTTGTTTAAAATTCTGTCTTCATAACTAGCTAACAGGATATCTTGCTTGATAGCTTAAGGTTCAGAAGATTGGTGTAATTATGTGAAAGAATGTACCTAAAACTAATTGTACATTATGTTTATCTACTTACACATGAAGGCACATTTATATAAAATAGTATTTTCGAAGTAGTACTGTTTTCTATCGTACTGTAGTATGGTTAATTATATTAAATAGTATTTAAGTATATACTATTTAATATGAGGCTATAATGACACGTATTTTTGTAGAAGAGAGAAGTCCTCTTATCAAGAAACGCATCAATTTTTACCAGATTTTGTGCAAAAATCGTCCGTTTGAGTACCTTTGTACTGTTTTTCCCAGTCGTGTTTTTGCCATGAAGCAGTTATGTTTGCATGGCTGCATTTCGATTTGAAGAGTAGGGACATGGAATGAAATTACAGAATACAGAGGCATAACACTCATTGTGACGTATGGCCACACATGAGGGGTATCATGGGCGACACAGTATACTGTGTCGCCCATGGTACTGCTCACATCTATAAGCGATAATTATCACTTTCTATCAGCTTCGGCCTTATTCGACTTTTTTTATTTTTTTATACAACTTAGAATGGCAAACAAGCTGCCGGCCCACCTGATGGAAAGTGGTAACCGTCGCCTATAGTCATGAGCAGTACAATGGACATAACAGAGTATACTGTTTTGTCCATGATACTCCCCATGCGTTGCCATTCCTAAGGACTCAAATGTTATTCCTCTGTAAATTCACGCCATATCCCACCCTTTAAACCGAAACACAGCCATGCAAACACAACTGCTTCACGGTTGAAACACGAATGGGACAGAGGTACCCAAGCAATCGACTTTTGTACAAAGTCTCTCTCTGGTCTGACTACTTTGTCATTCTTAATTACATAAAGAAAAAAGGTAATTTTATATCGTTTTATTTGTAAAATTATTGTTTTTTTGCATATTTTTTATAAATAAATGGTTTTTCCTTATTATAAACTAGCTTTATGCCCGCTACTTTGTACGCACGGACTTTGGAAGTGGAAAAACCAACGAAATAAACCATTTTTAGATGGCGTATCAATATGAAACCTTAAATTATATAGATAGAGTATACAAATGCTTCGCCAAAAACAAGTTAACTTTGTTATCCATTTGTCTATGAATAGGGTTACTGTAAAGTACATTTATTATTAAATATATAGAAGAATTTTAAAATTATTAAAAAAAATTTTATAGGTATAATTATTAAGAATATATTTGAAAAAAAAAACAAAGTAAACAGTGTATAAAGATTTGTAATGATGTTTATCTTTACTGATTATTTTGATTTATATCTAAGAATAAATGTAAAATATGTTTTATTCATATTAAAAACTTTGAAAATGGACGCCATTTTAATTCATACTATATTAATTTGTAATCAATATACACACATACACACACGCACGCACGGACGCACGCACGCACGCACGTTAACGCAAATTCCAGTAAATCGATATAGAAATTGCGACCTTTCGTACTCTCGAATTATAATACTAGCGATATGTTCTTCTGATAGATTTGTATAAGTGTAATTTGTCAATTTAAACTTTTGCAAAGAGATCCCAATTTTAATTAATTCCTAATTCTTGTTCCATGAGTGCAGTACAAAATTGTCATTCGATATCGATATTAGGTTCAAGAGTTAATCTGCATCTAAAAATTTTTTCTTCCAATTAGTTGCAACACTAAAAAAATTTGCGTGTTTTATTTTAGTTTAAAAAAATATAAAAATATTATTTCAGCTGACTAAATATTGATGCGTATAATCTAAGCATAAAACATACATTTTTAAATTAGATCTTCAGGAACTCAATAGTGAATATTGCATCTAATTTGTTGCAGTAGCTCGTTTTTGCATAATTCCTGAACAAATATATACACAGACAAAATTTCTAAAAATTGTTGTTTTAGCTTCTATTTCTCTTATTCAGACCCCTCATATCAATTTTTTTTTAAATATCTCCCATGTACAGATATTATCGAGTTTTTTTTTTATATTAGTATCTACAATTTAATTATATTAGTAAGATAAGAAATCGTTATGTACCTATACTTGCAGTGGTCGTATAATAACTTACAAGTTTGTTTTGAAATTGTCATCTGATTAAAATAATAAAACTGAAAGTAAAGAAGTAAAAGTTTCAATTCAAATTACTTAATTATTACTTAATCTTTGTAAATTATTGATGCTCATTAATTCTTCTCTTTTCGTGAGTAGACAAAGTAAATAAAATTTTATCTAAGAAATCAGTTTAGGGTACAATAGGGCTGATATACCTAAAAAACGTAAAAGCCTAGGTAAGGTTATCGAATTTTTAAATTAGTGGTTTCTAAGCTATATTAATATAAAAATTTACATACTGATCTACATTATAACATGATTATAATTATAGGATAAAATAGAATATAATGGTACTTTTACATCCAAGTCAAAGTAGATGTGTTGTGTCCCTTACTTTGCTCTAGAACATTTCATTGGTATATTATAGTTGTCTTTGTACGAGTATTGCCAAACAATCTCAATCGGTCGGATTATATCGTTAAGGCTTATGTACCGTATTGAACATTGCGTTGTTTTGACTTGTAGTCATACGTCGCGAGGCTCTTTCCACGACCGAACGCTAGTACAGATTTCGCGAAAAACGGAACGCATTTTTAACTTTTTTATTAAAAAAAGATCACTAGAAATGTATTCAATAGCTGAAGCTACATTGGCTTTCGTTGTTTTATATCTTTTTTCTTTTTTATTTGAAGTTGTAACGGGATTGGTTGTGTAATTAAATTTAAGTACAGCTATTTTCCAAAATGTGATATTTATAGTAGTTAATATTTTTAAATGTCTACTTAAAATAGTCAAATATGCAATTTTTAGAGGTGATAGCTTTATTTATATATATTTAGTCCAGTATTTGAATTAATTCCTATTTATCTAATTTATAAGTTTGACATATTTACCTATAAGAAACAAATCAATAAATTATATTTATATCTACTTATACACCAAGATCAAGGTAAGTGATATTATTATTTATTTTATATTTATAACATTTGTCTTCTTACCTATTCATTAACAACCTTAATGGCAGTCTCAAAAGTTTTTAATAAATTTTAAAACGAACCTATCTAGAACTCATTTGATAACAGTAACATATAGACTAAGATTTTTATAAGTGTCTAGGAAAAGTTAGTTATATTTTGTTAGAAAAATACATTCTAGTTTTCATAAGAAAATAATAAAATTTATTAAGTCTTCATATTGTTACCAATCACTTATATTGTATGGGATTTTAGTTATTCTTCGATATTGACGTGTTCATTTTATATGTACAATTGAATAATACGAGAAAACAATAAATTATAAGAACATGAATTCTCTGTTAGTTAATAATAAAATAGATTATGCTGTGATTTATTCAAATTAAACCGCTTGAAGTTAGTGCTGCCATCTATTAACAATAGTTGCTGTCTAGTTCTTTTTATAGTTTCTAGTATTTTTTATCTGTACAAGTCTGTAGTACAAGAGTATTTTTTTACTGTCAATGTTTTTTTTTTTTTTTTTTCCTTTTTTTGTGAACACTGTCAATGTTAAATATCAAATATTATTTCATTATAGGGGATCTCCACTTAAATATATATCGATTATAATAATCGATATAAAACATAGGTACTCGGTATCAATGTTTATCGATTGCTTGTAATATTATTAGATAGATAATTTCCATTATCGTTTCGCTAGCTACTCAGTCGCAGGTGTCACTATTTGTTAATGATAATTAAATTTGAAATAATATATATATATATATATATATATATATATATATATATATATATAATAATTTTTAAAAATTATTATATATATATATAATAATTTTTAAGTATAATATAATAAATATAACAAAAAAATATATTTTTATTGTGAATATTGAATAAAAACATATTTACCGAAACATCGAACAATCTAATATATTAGATTGTTCAATGATTGTTTTAACTCAATTTATATCGACTGATATATCACATGGCATAAATCGAGTTAATTCGATATATCGATGTTAAGTAATATCCATATTAGTTGTCAAAAAATGACAATCAGTTTGGTCCTAGATTTAAGTAATTTCTTAATTTTTAGATATAAAAAAACATAAAAAATGTGGTATTATAAAATACACCGTAACTTAAATAAAAAAGTCAAACCAATAATTTGGACACGATACCATTCTATAGTCGCTGATAGACAATGGCAAAGCGTTGTCGGTTTGGAAGTTCATGCACAGCTCAATACAGAATCCAAGTTGTTCTCTGGCGCTGAAAATACATTTGGTGGGTTAGTTAATAATTGTGTATCTTTATTTGACGCTGCTATACCCGGAACACTACCAGTGCTGAATAGAAAATGTGTGGAACTTGGTGTTAAAACTGCACTGGCACTATCGTGTCGCGTTAATGAAGTGTCGACTTTTGATAGAAAACATTATTTTTACGCGGATTTGCCTGCTGGTTATCAAATAACACAACAGAGAGCACCTCTTGCTAGCGATGGTGTTATTAATTTTCAGGTATTTCAATGCACAATTTTCTGTCAATCTTTTTTGGGGAAAATAGTGCCTTCTTCTTATCCAAAACAAAACTGAATATATTAAAAATATGAATTATTTAGATTCATCTGGATATACTAACTAGATAGTCAAATTTTTTGTTTAACATCAGCCAACTAGGAAATTATGGATAAAAATAATTAAAATTGATTACATAAGTATAGCATAGAAAGTTTGTATATTCTATAATGATGTAATTAGATTAAAAAGAAAATTCCTTAGTTAATGTAATTAAGGGTTCAACAAATACAATACAATACAATTTTATTATAAATACCAGATGGTTTATCCTTTCATAATTGAACTATAAGCAATCGTCTAAACAAGCACAGTTTTATATTTGTGTTTTCTGTATACAACTAAAAGTTAATGAAGTCAAAAAATTTTTTTGTTAGTCTCAATATTAAAAAAAACCTAATTTAAAAAAAGGAAGAAATTTCCACGCATCTTTATATATTTTTGGTCTAAAAGTTTATTTTGTAATTATTAGTCTTCTAAATGTCTTAAAGTTACAACTTATACAATAAATCTTATACATATAGTAAGTTAACCTGTTTTCTATCTTAGTCTATGGTAATTTAACAATTTCATTATCAGCATGTCAGCCATTAATTGTCCACTGTTGAGCATAGACCTCCCCCATAGACTGCCTAGGTATTTACCAGTAAGGGATTGGGTACAGTTGTTGCCACACTTAGCAGGCAGGTTGGCAACTACAGTTAAGTTTTAGTGATGTTTTAAATCATCAAGTTCTCTTAGTAGCCTCTTACTATATAATAATTTATTTTTAATTTAATTATGTATTTCCAACTGAATTCATACACATCAAAGGAAATAGAATAATTGAGACAATACAATTTCTATTGAAGTATTGACTAATCTTGAATTTATATGAATTATTTATTTTCTGGTGTTTATTTCCATATTAATTTAATACTAATTTAGTCAAGATTTTTGGATTAAAATCTTAAATATATGCCTTTGTTGTTCACAGGTATTTACACCGGGAGTACATAAGAAACCGTATAAAAAGAGTTCAAAGATTAAGCAAATCCAACTGGAGCAGGATAGTGGAAAGTCCTTACATGATGATGAGTTAAAAAGAAGTCTTGTGGATCTAAATAGAGCTGGAGTGCCACTTATTGAGCTTGTTTTTGAGCCTGATTTAGAGGTACTTTTTAATTTTTTTTTCTTATAATCAAAACTTCATATTTTCAATATCAAATTTTTATTTACATTTCATTATAAATTTAATATTTATGTATGTTTATTTATATTTTGTATATATATATAGTATTATTAAATATATAATATTACATATATACAAAATAACTATGTTCTCCTTTACAACTGCTGCTTAAAATAGTAATAGTCATAGTGAAAGCCTATTTACAGACATGGTTACATGTGGGTTGTATACACACTTTTAATTTTATATATATATATTTCATTTGCTTTGATTTCTTTTGTCTTGAACACAGAGATCAGAAATGTTTAAATCTTTGTAGCTATCATCATCTAATGTTAATTGGATACAAAAAGTGTGGGTTAACGTCAGAAAAATTTAAAATCATCTTGTTTTGTATTATATTTAGTAATAGTTAAATTACAATAAAATAATATGATTTTTACACAGTTCACACAGTCGCCTTTAAGTCAATAGGTATAAAAACCTTTTTTTTCTACAAAACTATTGCTAGGACAACATAATGTCATAATAACAACTTTATCACCTATTTGTAATAATGTTTTCCAGGATGGTGAGGAGGCTGCAGCATTGGTGAAGGAGCTAATATTGATCGTACAGAGACTTGAAGCCTGTACAGGTCGTATGGAAGAGGGAGCACTACGAGTTGACGCTAATGTGTCACTACGTCGCATTGGACAGCCGCTCTCTACAAGGACTGAGGTATATTTCTTCCTACATTACTGTACTTTAGAAAATAGATTCTGTGCTAAATCTTCTACATGTATATTGTTGTTTCATGTATTTTTTGCCACAATGTGGTTGGGTATGGATATTCCATATCCAGTGGTATAGTTGGATAGGCAAAACACCCTAGTTCTCAGAAATGGTAATGCATATAGACCATAGTGTATTCTGTGCTGTCCAAGTTGTTGTTTATGTTTAGTTGTCAAGTAATAAGAATAAATGGTGACAGTTGCTACTTTCAATTAGATGGTAACTTGTTTGCCATTATAAGTTGCATAAAAATGATACATTTTTATGGCAAGGGAACTGTGCTAGAGCCATTGGTTGAATAGAACTTGATGTGAGATTATTGTTCTCAACCTGGTTATTAATTTTGATACATTTTTTGTTCATATATAAAAATGTCTAACATTGACTTGACTGTAAGTTAAGTTATTAATGATTGATATTTATACTGTATTTCAGATAAAAAATATAGGATCTATTCGTGGCGTGGCGGGTGCAATTCGGCACGAAATCGATCGTCAACGATCGATACTTGAGAGTGGTGGCACCATATTGAACGAAACGCGTTCATGGGACGCCACTAACAAAGTGACTGTGGCGATGCGAGACAAAGAAGTTGTACAGGATTATAGGTGAGTGTTATTTAATTAAATGGGAAATGAAAAATTTGGAAGAGTAATTACAAAATATAGAATTCATGATACTGGTTTTCTATTTGTAAAATTAGCATTGAAGCCTCCATTTATGAGGTTATCAAGTTCTAAATTTAATTAGCCATGTAAGTCTGATTTAGTAGAAAACTTATGTTTATAAGTTATTTTTTTTATTAAACCTTATATCTATACAACTGTATATAACACTCGCTTTATTATTATTTTGTTTTCATAAATATAAGTGCATCCTATTTATTAAAATCCATTATCATTATTACATCTGAAGAACTTACATTTGTTTATTTGATAATTAGGTAAATAATGCTTTAAAGTTCGTGTACATGATAAAGAACATATGAATATGTATGGATCACTAACCATGTAAGTTGGACAGCAAAAATACAATTTAATAATTGTTATCAGCCCACTGGTGAAATCTCCAAAATATTTTTTTAATATTAATTAGTTGGCAAACAACTATTAAGTGATTTTGATAAGAAATGGAAAATAGTATTTGAAATAATATCAAATAATATTTTTTTTGTAAAATATAGGTGGAAGTAGATTATTAAAATACATACAGCAAGCTATGATCAACCTGAAAAAAAAAAATTATTAATGATGAAATTTTTGAAACTACTTAGTATGTTATTTTTTTTATTGACGTTTACAAGATTCCTTCTGGAAACAGTTGTGGTTAATTACCTAATGGTGCATTTATGACAATTATATTCACATATTACTAAACTAATAAAATCCATTAAAAATGTGACTCATTTATTTATTTTGTTTATTTAATTCTTTATTGTACACTTCAGTTATAAGAATATGACAGAGATAATCAAATGTTCAAAGGCGAGCTTAACTCTAATAGTTATCTTCCAGCAAACCCAAAGTAGAAAGGAGCACGTGACATTTATAATTTGCTAAAAATTTTGTATGTTCTTATTTTTCAGGTATATGCCAGAGCCGAATCTCCCGCCCCTACGAGTTAACTTGAAAACGAAGAATGACACTCAGGATGTTATAAGCGTACCTTTAATACAGGATCAAATTCCGGAATTACCCGAAGACACGCGGAAGCGTCTCGTACAAGAATTCCAACTCAGACCAGAGGCTGCTATACAACTCGTCAATGAACCTATATTATTAGAATATTTCCTGGAAATCAGTGCAAATAAAGAAAGAAATCCAACTAAGGTGGCCAATTTACTACTAAATGACCTTCTCACAGCTCTAAACCAAAATAAAGTTAATATTGATCACTGTCCAGTGACATCGAAACAGCTTATTGAGCTTTCTGATTTGCTGCTACAGAAAAAGATCAATTTGGATATGTGTAGACAGATTCTCGATGAGTTAGTACACAATGCGGATGAAGATATATCACCTTCAAGGCTACTCAAAGAAAAAGGATGGTCAATGATAACAGATGAAGCAGAATTGACTAAATTGTGTATAGAAGTTTTAGAAAATAATCCTAAATTAGTTAAACAGTATAAGGAAGGAAAAAAGAAGGTTTACAGAGCATTATTGGGTATAGTAGTAAAAAGTTCTGAGAATAAGATTGACATGGCAGCTGTATCAAAAATAATGGACGATCTGTTGAAAAAGTGATAAATAAATATTTTGGTTGTGATATTGGATAGTTTCAGTTATTCATTTTCAGCCAATTCCTACGACTGTTTAAGCGTCAGGAAAACTAACATGTTAACTAGTTGTTAAGCTAAAAATATGTGTTAAATCAATTCAGACTTGGAATGTTATCTGTTGATAATAATTTAAATTATTCTTCACATTCTGAATCCGGGGAGAAAGCTGATGGGTTTTAAAAGTCCCATTGCTAGCAATATTTCCTATCAGGTCAATCTTCATGCAATTCTCCCTGGAAACCATTGAGATTAATTCTTGTTAAATTTATCATGATGGGCTAACTGACCTGTTTTCATCCTCATCTATCATCTCTCACTCACCATTTCATTATCATTATTAAAGAAATCTGAACCCTGCAGTAGAATCATAACAATGATTAATGACGATTTTAACGAGTTTGTAAAGAAGGCTATTCGAAAAAGGATGATTTGAATATTATTGAAAGGTTGATTTGGTAGAGAATGCTATTAGCATTAAGTCCGTTATTTAGTCCATTCAGCGTTAATGCTTCTTTGGTTTTGTAAAGGGATTGACACCAAGTAATCTAATTGAAAAAGTTCGCAATTAAAAATCTTCCCCCCGCTTCTAGGTCGCTTTACTTTGGTAGGCGTTGATTCGTTTTGAAACACCCAAACTGTCGACTGACACTTTGTTTCTGGATAGTATTGATAATTCCATGATTCATCACCTGTAATGATGTCGTAAACACGCCGAGACGAGCCTGCTTCAAATTTGTCTATATCATGGCACCATTCCACCCTTGCCTGATTCTGAACATCGGTGAGGTTGTACGGCATCCAGCGTGAAACTATCCTCCGCACCCGTAGATGCACCTGTAGAATCTCATGAAGGCTTCCTGATCGAATCTGCAATATATGCTGAATCTCTTGGTATTTAACTCGTCTATTGTCTTGGATCAAAATTTTCATTGCTAGCACGTTTTCTTCCGTAACAGCCGTCAAAGGGCGACCACTTCTTTCTTCATCCCCTAAAGTTAGTCGACCGCGCTTAAATTCATTATACCAACCATACACGGTTGCCTTAGTAGGACCTTCATCCATGAATGCCATTTGAAGTCTATCGTATGATTCGTTCGGTTTCAGGCGACACTTAAAATCGTAATAAATCATAGCGCGAAAATGTTCTCGACGCAAGTCCATTTTTCAATGAGACGCGGTAATTTTAATTAACTCGCAAAAATGTGGAAGGGAGTTTTGAATTTAGAACATTTCTATTTTTACTTATAAGTAATCATATTTTTAAATAAATTATAACTGGCCAGTGTCACATACATAAAAACTTTTTCTCGCAATACTTTCTTAGTGACCTGGTACTTTCTCTTGGTTAATAAAGTTATTAAAAAAAATTATAATCTTATAAAATCTAATCATTTTATTTGGAATCTATTCCAAAAGTTTTCGGAAGACGAGTGATCTGGCATACTGTTGTATTCAACGATAATAGAAAGCGACGATAGTAAAATTAAAAAAAAATATGCTCATGATTGTAATACCAGATAGTTGCATACATATATACAAAATTATATATAAATCATAGTTTAAATTGCGAAGATAAATAAAATGTCATTTCTCATATTTTTTATCTGCCATTATAATTTTTCTTCTTTAATGTCGTGAAAATATACCTCCCAAACAAATACAAAAAGATAGGTAACAAAGCAAAGATTTTTAATACCTTGTAAAACCGAAAGATATCACATAATCTTAACATAGTTGGTTATTTATGGATCTTTATCCATAAATAACCAATTGTGTTAAGATTATCTATATATGTATCTTTATACATCCAAGCAGGTATACTATCATACCATCCTACATGGAGGATGAGGTCTGGGTCAGATAGCCTATTATGTCTAATTCGACATGTATTAATTACAATTGTTTTTATTGAACACCACATAGAGGTCGACTTGACAAGGTATCTTGCTGGCCAATTATTACTAGCAATTCCAAGAATCCTCTCCTCCTCTCAGATATAGTCAGAGAGTTAGCCATCTATTGCACTTTTGGATATGTGGTGGGAGCAGATATTTAATTACGGGGACAAGCGGCTCCATATTCATTTTTGATAAATTCATCATGATGGACCAACATAATTCTCCATTCTTCAGTGGTACCGCACCATGCACTGTAATAGTAGGTACATATACGATGTTGTCATTAATTTCTTTTGTTTTGAGGTTTCTTCAGGGTCGGCAGCGCGTGCGTAATACCCCTGGTATTGCAGGCGTTTATAGGCTACGGTAACCACTTACCATCAGGTGGGCCGTATGCTTGTTTGCCACCTCAGTGGCATAAAAAATCATTATTTGCCATTATTTATATATAGAATATATAAATATAGAAGTGTTACAATGTTCTCATGAAGAGTAAGTACATACATGAACCTTGTTTAGGTATAGCAAAATTTAATCGATAGGTAGCGAATATATATGCACTAATGTTAGGTTATATTTAATTTAAAATTAAAAAAGAAGGTATATCGTCATAGTCGTAGAATACTGACGGATCTGACAAATATTACATATAAAGATCCGTCAGTATTCTACGACTATGACGATATGTCCACATTTAGGCAAGCATATTCTTATTTATTTATTTAAGGAACACCAACAGCATATTGCATTATAACATATAGGTATAACAACATTAAATACAATACAATATTAATGCACATGCCTATTATAGGTATTCACAGCATTCACTTTAACATAATTATACAGTGTAAGAAAATTAAGTAAATAACAAAAATAAACATGTAATCTAAGTTCTGAGCAATATCAGAATATAAGATTATGAGTGAATTAAATTAAAAAAAATATATTAAAGAGATATATATTATGACAATTAGAGTTAATTTTCATAAGATTGTTGTACAAAGTGCTTCAGCAATTTATTCCTGTAGGAATTCGAATTATCGTACACTATATCAATTTCAGGTAATTTGGCATTAATTTCATTGTATGACGCACTAATCCTGGCCAGAGGTTGATGCAGTCCTAGGTTTGTTCTGCAGCGCGGTAAGCTAAATGTTCTAGTTATAGGGTGTCGAGGATAATTTAGAGGATAATTCTAATCCAACATAGCTAGTGTGATCTTATATACCATGACTTAATCCGTGTGAAATATTTTATGAAATCTTAATGCTCATTGACTTCTCATCAACGCCTGTATAAATTCATGTTTCTAGACCCAGCACTTTTGATAGGTAGGTTGCATGGTTTGTGTTATGATTATTATTGTTATTACACGTCAAATAAATATGTTATTACAAGTCAACTAAATGGATTATTAACGATGGAGAAGAGAAATAAAAAACAACCTTTTTCAGTTCTGTCATTGACACACAAGAAGTTTTTTTTTTTTTTTTTTTATTTTATAATACCATAAACAAAGTTAGGGTTGCTATATAAAGTTCACAATAAACTATACTTCAACACTACCCCTCAAACCAAACTTTGTTTCAAACATAAAAAAAAATACCATAAGCACAAACAGCACAATACAAAAAATAAACTTATAATTTCTGATACAGTGAAATATCTTTCATAAAATTACTTATTTTTACAGAACTCAGAGGCTTGGTGAACATATCAGCCACCATACACTGAGTAGACAAATACTTAATCTCTATTTTGTTACTCTCAACTGCTTCTCTAATAAAATGAAATTTAATGTCTATGTGCTTAGTCCTATTACTATTTACCTTGTTAGCAGCTATCTTATGACATGACTGGTTGTCATTATACAAAATAATAGGTTTATCTATCATCTCTACATATAGTTCTTTAATAATATTCTTTAAGAAAATAGCCTCCTTGGCACCCTGAGCCAGGGCAACATATTCCGCTTCAGTTGATGATAATGAAACACAAGTTTGCTTTTTACTTTCAAAGGCAATAAGATTATCACCAAGTTTAAACACTAATCCGGAATATGATCTCCTGTCTTCTGAATTTGCCCAATCGGCATCAACATATCCATATAAACTGAAGTTCTTTGACTTCTTATATACTAAACAATAATTAATTGTACCTTTCAGATACCTTACAATCCTTTTTACCTGTACAAAATGTTCTTTTGTATAACAATTATTATATTGAGATAATACACAAACTGCATGTAATATGTCTGGTCTGGTATTTAGAGCAATATACATCAAGCTTCCAATTAAATTTTGATATGGAATTTTTGGATCAACGGTGTCACTTTTACTCATCCTCAAACCTGGTAGAATTGGTGAATTTACAGGTTTGCAATCTTGCATTCCATACACACTTAATATATTTTCTATATACCTTTTCTGATCAACAATTAATTCTGAACCTACTCTTCTTATTCTCAAACTTAGGGCATGTTCTATGGGACCTAAATTCTTTAATTTAAATTTACTATCTAGTAGAGAAAATATATCATGCTTTTTCTTTTGATTATTACCAAATGCAAAAATGTCATCCACATAAATTGCTAAAATTAAATAAAGGTTATCTTGTTTGAGAATATAAATACATGGTTCATGAACAGACTGCTTAAAACCAATATTAATCAAAGCATTATGCAACTCTTTATTCCAACTTGAGGCTGCCTGCTTCAGTCCATACATAGCTTTGTTTAGTTTGCATACCTTAGGCACATTATCATTTTTACCTTTATCAATTAACAAGCCCTTTGGCATATACATAAAAACATCTTCATTTAATGTTCCATGAAGAAAAGCAGTAACAACATCCCAATGGTCTATAAACCAATCAAACTGAATTGCCAAAGAAAAAAGAATTCTAAGTGCACTAGAACGAACAACTGGTGAATATGTATCATGATAATCAATACCAAATCTTTGATTATACCCACGTGCAACTAACCTAGCCTTATATTTGACAATATTGTTGTCACTGTCTTTCTTTATTTTAAATACCCATTTGCTATCTATAGGGGTTACACCCTTTGGTAAATCTACAATAGACCAAGTATTATTAATATCCAATGATGAAAGTTCAGCATTAATAGCATCTTTCCAACAAGCTGGTAAATTATCAAAATCATCAAAATGTAAACATTCATCATCAGATTCCATGCACATATACACATGATAGTCTGGAAACTCCTTTATCTTTCTATTACGCAATGGATATCGTTGAGAATTTTCACTTTCGACATTTCCATTACTGTTACCACTACACAATGGATCCACATTTATCACTGACTCACTTTCACTTTCTGATAAATTATCACAGTCTAAGAACACAGGATCACTATCACATGAATTATGTATAAAATCTTTACCTGAACTTGGAACCTGGTCACATGCTTGAGCTGGATCAGCGGCGGTGACAGCCCTTGGGGCCATAGACGATGATGCATGTCCTCTTGTCACTTTCTGAACTTTGCTGCTGTTGACTTCATCAGCATCAGGAATTAAGGATATCACAAAATCATGATTTTTCGAAGATTCCTTCTGATGTTTAGACTGCTGCTCTGTTAAATCCTGTTTAAAAATATCAACACATACTTGTTCTGGTAGGAATTTAACATCTCTAGATAAAACTATCTTTCTGTCCTCTGTCCATATTCTATACCCATCTTTGTCTCCACAATATCCAACTAAGTTTCCCTTTATTGCCTTTTTATCTAGCTTTCTGCGCTTTTGGTCAGGTACATGAATAAAACATTTTGTGCCAAATATCTTCAGATGACTTATATCAGCTTTTTTGCCAAACCATAAACTGTATGGTGTAGATGAGTCATCAACACCTGTTGGACCAGTCCTATTCAGAACATATGCAGCAGTGTTAACAGCTTCTGCCCATAGCTGCTTATCAAAATTATTTGCATGTAGCATACTCCGAGCTGCTTCCATTAATATTCTGTTTTCACGCTCCGCAGCTCCATTCTGCTGTGGGCTATATGGAATGGTCATGCGATGATTAATTCCAAATGATGACAATATGGCTTGCATTTCCTTGTTTATAAATTCTTTACCTCCATCAGTTATTAATTCTTTTATTGTATGACCTATTGTCTTAGCTTCCAAAATAAAGTTCTTTGTTACTTCTGAAACTGCTGTCTTTTCTTTTATAAAATATACTTTTCTGTATTTGGAGTAATCGTCTTTGAATGCAATACAATATCTACTACCTCCAACAGATACTTCAGCAATGGGGCCACAGACATCAGCATGAATAATTTGTCCTGGTACCTGTGCTCTGATATTTCTTGTATGAAAAGGCAAGCGAGACATTTTACCAAACATGCACCCATCGCAAACAATTTTTTCTGCTGGCTGGAATGGAATATTATTCAGTTTTAAGAATTTTTCAACATGTCTAATATTCTGGTGACATAGGCGTTCATGCCAGATATTTAAGTCTGCCGTATGACTACTAAGCATACAATAATTTTCAGGTAATATCACCCTCATCTCCAATCTGTACATATTTCCCTTATTTCTTATTGCAACTGCTTTTATGTTATTGCCATTTTTAAATATTCTTTTATTTTTATCACCTATTTCAATTAAATTATTTTTTAAAGCTGACCCTGAAGAGAATAAATTCTGTTTACAGGTAGGAACAAACCAAGCATCTTTTAAATGACCTTTCTCCCATTTTCCATTAACCAACATTTTTATGTCTATGATGCCAAATCCTACAGCCATCATTTGACTACCATCTCCGAGATAAACTGGAATTGGGTTATCAAATTGTTCATATGAAGCAAAATACTCTCTATGTGAAGTAATATGGTGTGACGCACCAGAATCTATTATCCAGTCCTCTTTAGTTATCACGGTACTATGTGCAACAAAAGCATGTCCATTTGTAGAATCAGATTTTTGTTTATTTTTAAATTTAAAACAATGTTTTTTGATATGTCCTTTTCTTTTACAATAATTACAAACTGGACCTTTATTATATATACGCTTTTCAGTCTTTGCAACTAGAGCGACTTCACTTTCAGGTTTGCTTTCATTCAATCTTTGCTCATGTAAGCGAAGACGTTCCATTAATGTGGTTACATTTCTATCCGATGCAGGGACAGATTCCCATGCATTTTTGAACTCAAGATAGTTAACAGGCAATGTATTCAGTATTCTGTTTAAAAGTAAGGACTGAGGCAAAGTACTGCCTTCATTTTTCAATTCTAAGTTTAATTGAGTATACAGTCTTTGTAACTTAGAGACATGCGTAGCTATACTGTCCTCTGGTAACTTTTTATACGTAAATAGCTCGCAGTACAAAAGATCCAGTCTTCTTTCATTTTTCTGTTCATACACAGCATGAAGAGTATCCCACATTTCTTTCGCACTTTTGCAGGTTAAAATGTGCTGTTTCGGCTCTCTGCCTACTGTTGAACCTATTAAATACCTTGCAATTGATTCCTTTTCATGGTATAATTTGAAAGACTTTGGTTCTTCTCCATCTTTTGGTTGTTGCGCTACACCGGTCACATGGTCCTCAACTCCATGTAGGGTTATTTGTAAGTTGATATCGAATTTCCATGAAATCCAATTACCTTCACCCTCCAACTTGTCCACTGTGATTTTATCTAATCGCACAGACATTATTGACAAGTACCTCAAGAAGTTCTGAACAAAAAACTTTCAACCGGAAAAAAAAAATGGCGGCTGTGACTTGTGGAAATTGTTCTAGTTTTGTACGAATAATTACAATACCATATAAATGGAAAATCAGGCTGGGCCCATAACCTGTTATGATTATTATTGTTATTACACGTCAAATAAATATGTTATTACAAGTCAACTAAATGGATTATTAACGATGGAGAAGAGAAATAAAAAACAACCTTTTTCAGTTCTGTCATTGACACACAAGAAGTTTTTTTTTTTTTTTTTATTTTATAATACCATAAACAAAGTTAGGGTTGCTATATAAAGTTCACAATAAACTATACTTCAACAGTTTGCAACGCGCACGTGACCTAATATTCAGGCGTCCACTGGCTACAGTGATAGTTTACAATCCGACAGGCTGTATAATTGTCACATTTGTAGTATAAAAAAAAAATGAGATTAATTGATCAGTGCAGTAACATTGGACTTATTCGAATTTGACTATAATATTTTTTTTATGTTAGATGAACAACAAATCATGTAGGCTTATAGAATATCTATATAATATATACACTAACGAAATCACTAATATTTACACCATGATTCATAAATTCCAAAAGACGATCGCACAAATGAGTTTACGAATGAATTTCATGCTGAATGATCAACAGGAAATTTGTTGGTAAACACATTGTATGATCTAACTATATTGTAACTATATGGCGTTTAAGTAATATAAGGATAAATCATTGTATGAATTTGTGTATGAGGTTCAGAATAATCTACGATCGACATGCCATTAAGGTTTAGTATGCACGTACATGAGCGAAGGTTGTTAGCGACACGCGCCCCGAATATTATAATCAACAGGGGTGTCTATGCCACATTGTGTAGTCGGGTTTTTCCCTTTATCTATTTGAAAATAGCACATTAGGTCTCTTTAATTCTGATTGAGATTCTCTTATTTTCATTTTTATTAGTACATATAATATTATATTTTTCTATATGCAACGGAATGGATAAAAAGCTTGTGGGTCATCTGAAGGACAGCCGTTAAGATAGTCTTTATGGGCTGACTTATCAGACCTGGCGGTTTTTTACTCCATTAAAAATATTAAGTCATTGATCCGGACTATTCTAATTATAGCAAACAATACATATTTACAAAATTACACTGAAATCAGTTGAGCGGTTTCGGAGATTAATTTGAACGAAAATTGTAACTCAGTGTTTTTATATATTTAGATCATATATACATATAATGAAAATTACTAAAAAATATACTGTTTCGCCAATGGCACCTCCCATGCGTTGTCTTATTTGAGGAGTAACTTTTTCACTGTGTACTTTGTGTTGTCCATGATGCTGTTCATGTCTATTGGCAATGGTTACTACTTTCGGTAGGGTATATTATGTTAAGTAGATATGAATAGCATTCTGGTTTAGGTTGGGCAGATACTCAGTAACCAGTTGCTATTTAATTGAAAGTTACTGGCTCTCATAAAACGTTGGATATGATTTCTACTCCAATAAATTATTGTGACTAGACATAGACCTAGAGAATAGGATTATATCATTACGAATTCAATTGTTTTAAATCTATATTTAATTGAAGCCCTGGTAAATCTATGGGCATTTTCGAATAAGTTCTTATAGTATTTTTTATTTCAAATGATTAGTATTGACAACCCTCATTTCATTCTTTCTTTGACAAACAAATCTACAAAACAATTAAACACAGCGCACGAACAATTGCATCAGAGAGCCCACAGGGCCGTTGGATTCAATCATTTGAACTCAGAACAAACTGTGACCACGACCAACGACAATGTGGACCAAATTTTTTATTTTAATTTCAATTTTTGGTGTCGCCTTCGCCGAAACCACAGCTCCTGGCATAGATAGAAAAATGAGTGAAGGTATTGTTAGCAGAGGATATAAAGTTGTGTATGGAGATGAGGATATGGAGATTATTAACGAAGTAGTTACTGATATGGAGAAGTCTGATAATTTGAAGAATAAAATTGATGTGAATGAATCTATACCACCGTTACCGGCCCAGGATGTCAAGTGTCTGATGTCTGTTGATCGATATTGTTCCAAGGATATGGGACAAATTAAAGGTGATGTATTACGAAATTTGTTGTTTTTTGGCGCAAGTCAAGAAAAAGGAAACTCATTAATTTATTCATTGAACACTATTTTAAATGTAAATTTTGTACCGCAGTCAATAATGATTATCTACATTGTGATAGGTAATAATGTTATTGTTATTTAATGTCGCTCCTAGATTAGGCAATCTATACAGTTAAGAGTTCTGTAAAGGCATGAACTCAACCATGATCGATTGCATATCATGTTATTAAAAAATATTATAAATTATTCATTAAGAATTTTTTGTTTTTAGTACAACTAGCAATTTACCTCCATATCATACCAGTAAATAAATAATGTAGGGGAGGGACTTCTAATTGTTTTTTAATAAAATACAGCCAGGATAAAATAGAATTTAAGTACATGCTTTCACACTAATGGATTTGCTGGAAGAGATCTCTGGAGAGATAAGTAAATCTTTGCTTGTAATATATATATACATATAAATATATATATATATATATATATATATATATATATATATATATATATATATATATATATATATATATATATCATATATTATTAAGAATCTTGAAATCGGTTAAATATTTTTTGAGTTTATTTTTTTGCAAACAAAAAATCATATTATTTTTGTTTATAACATTAATTAAAATTAATGTGGCTTGTTTATTCGTTTATTTAAATCACTGCTGTATAAGCGTAATTGTTTAATTAAGTACTTCTTTTCTTCTATAACTAGGTGTTCTTATACAAGCTATTAGAGAGGATTGCCAGAAGTGTACTACGGAGCAAAAAGAGCAGGCAGGGAAAGTGATTGCAGCAATGATGGCTCATGATCCAGTGGCCTGGAAAATGTTTCTTACTAGGTACGACGGTTTGAAGAAAGTACAAAGGATATTGGGATAACCTTTCTGTATAAATAATTACGTATAAAATTTATTTATTTATTTATTATAGAGTTATAACATGGTTATATTAAATAATAAATTAAATAGATTCTAGATGACTGATGGAGATTTTTAATTGGTTTATTCTTTATTTTAAGACATCATTATTATATTTTACTCGTAAATTAACTGTTTTTTTATGAGATTAAAATGGAATAATAAGCCTCAGCATACGTTGGCCGGTTGCCAGTGAGGTACGGAAGGTGAGGGTGAAGGTAGGTCAGTTGGCTCATCGTGATCAATTCATCAAGAATTAACCACAATGATTTCCAAGGGAAGCTGTGTAAAGGTGGACTTGACATCTCCATTAGTAACTCTCCCTCCAATTACCTATTGTAATCGCCTATAATACATTTGAAGTCGTTGATCCATCGTACGTGTAGGGGCAGAGAAAGAAACTAAAAATAATGGAGACTAGTTCACTTTATCAGTTTGAAGAGTGGGACATTGTGCAAGATATTACAAGGTATAGAGGCATTACATCATAGTTTTTAGGAACCATAGAGGTTACAAAATAATTTGTTATGTTCATGGTGCTGTTCGATAGGGTGTCGTAAGTGTGAGGTACGCCGTGTGTGCCCCGGTATAGAATGGGCCGCACCTTCCTATCCCGTGGATATCGTAAGAAGCGACTAAGGGAGTACGAGGGATGGGCAATAGTGCCCCTCTTAAAACATCTGTAAAAGCCTAACTGCAGTTGCCAACTCACCTGCCAAGCATGGCAACTACTAGTAAAACTCCCCTCATGGCGAAGGTTTATGTTCAGCAGTGGACAGTTAACGGCCAAAATAATAGTGTTGTTCATATCTATAAGCGATAATAGCTACTTTTCATTAAGTAGGCCGTCAGCTGATTTGCCATTCGTAGTTGCATGAAAAATCCTGATAAAAATTTAATTTTTTTCATAGATCCGCTATTCAAAATAAGCCAGAAAAGAAACCTCCGAAACAAGAGAAAATAAAATATAAACTCGTAGGTGAACCGGAAGAAATAGTGTCATCTAAAAATAGATATACACTACCAGGTGTCAAAGTAAGAGTAAAAAGATATGTAGCTGAAAAAATGTCTTAAAATATTGCCAACAACAATGACAACATTAACAATTAACAACATTAGCAATGCCATTTTATTATATAATGGTATGTGCTCGCAAATATACATGAGATATAGTGTGGAACGTAAAGCATTTTGGAATTACGATTTTTTTCAAAATGTACTTTATATCTAGGGGAGATACTAATTATGTACTTGATAGATCTTGACCATTATTAAGATTATTTGTAAATGGTAAAAAAGATGCCTTTTGTATTTTTTTTTTGTATTTAATTTATTGCTTTCAGAAGTTAGGTTACATTATTAAATCCAAATAAAATTAAGGTTCAATTAAATTAATTAATTATTACATTTGTAGTTATTTTATTTTCTGACGAACCATAAGTTGTTTAAAATTCAGTGTTAGGTGCTTATTCTTCTTTTTCATTTGAATTACCATTTTTATTTTCTACGTCATTTTCATTACTGTTTATATTTTTTACTGATTGTTTCTTCTCTAAGTATTTTCTTTTATAACTGCCATCAGATTTATATCTGTGTTTAAAAAAATAATAATTAGTTATAATTTGAGACTAAATAATTTGTAAAAATATTAATACTTACTTCTCTTCCAACTTATTCCAATCATCTGGTCGGTGATCAATGATGTATCCCATTACCTGATCTGCTCCTTGTTGTTGCCTATTTGTACACTTTTTGCAATCATTTTGTATAGCATCTGGGAGATTATCTGAAAGTAAAATAGATTGTATAAAAAGTAATTTAATAACAATTTTAAGATCGTCCATAGAACAACACAATTTGATATTACCTAGTACTGTACCTTAAGATATGGAAGGAACACTGCGAGAAGTATGTTTATATATATACTCGTAAAACTTAGCTATAAAAGTATGAATCATATGCTAAGATAAAATTTGTAATTGTAAAAACTGGTACCTATGAAATAATCTTAGTAATTTAGAAAAATATGAAATATCGTTAATCTTTATCAAACGGAATTAAATGGAATAATATTCTTTTTTAATTTAAGAATAATAGAAAAAAATTAATATTTGATGATTTTTTAAAGAATAAATAAAAACTTTTAATTTTATTCTATTTTTTTTAACACATGGGACAAATAAGCTTGCGCTCATTTAAGGGTAAGTGACTACCGTAAGTAAGTAAGAGGGTAAGTGACATCTCCAACATGGAAGGAATTGCAGTTGGGCGCCTGGTCTTAGAAAGAAAGCCTTTTTGTTCTATTAGTAATTAATTGAGAATAGTCTTTGTCTATTAATGTGTACTTTTTTTAATTTTTTCTGTGTGCAATAAAGAAACAAATAAATAGTGTTAAATTCATGCTGTAAGAGCTAATACCCAGCTGTATTTATCAATTTACATGTACACAATTATTATACTTACTTTTTAATTCCTTGGCGTCTGGAGTACAAGGACCTTGTTCCAGTAAACATTTAATATAGCCTGTTAGAAGTCGCTCATTTGTTAGAATCTCGTCCAAATTTACACCATCATATTTATTAGTGTACTTCGATTCTTCAGAAAAATGTCCTTTTGTTAAATATAGAAGTATAAAAGACAGAAGAAAAATCTTCATGGCTTCTGGTAAAGAACACGTTTCATCAAAATTTACATTAAACAAACACTTAAAAGGAACTTACAAAAACACTATACACCATTAGAAGTAATTCAAAATAGAATACAGCTTGATAAAATAGGTAACTACATGAATATAGTTTATCATTTTATTTTTCCTAAACCAAATCGTTTGAGGTTTCTTTGCTGTCTTAATATTTTATTTCAATTTTGACAGAGCTATGTTGCGTCTGTTAAGTACTTACTAAGTTTGTAAAAAGTGCCTGTTTTGAAATTAACAGCAACGTAGTGCAACATTGCTGTTAATTTCTGAAGAGACATTTTATAAAATGCGAGCCTAGAGTCTTGTATTTCACCTATGGCTATAGCTTTAAATGTTTTATATTTTTATATATTTAATAAACGAAACGAAAAAAGGTATTCGAAAATATAATTAGCAATTACTGCATTGATATCAATTCAAAATTTATCATCGAAACTATATAAAATTGTAAATACCTTTATTTGTAGACAACAATCTGTAAAATTTCTCTCTTATTTTAAATTATATAACCAAATTTGAATTTATTTACTGATGTTATAAATGCAATATTAAGTTTGGTAGACAATCCTAAGTGCAACAGAAATAGAAAATTATGAACTATGATGTGGGACGAAATAAGTTCTTTTATATGAATTGAGTAAGTACATACAATAATGGTTTAGTGATCATCATCTATCATCTCAAATCGTTTAATCAGTAATCATACCTTTATCATTTTCTATACTGTTGTAGGTTATATGGCATAATGATTTCCTAGTTTTCTTACTTTATCCACTTATAGGCGAACTAGTTTTTACTCACGACTTCGTGCTAGCGACTGACTGATAAAAAGTAGCCTATACAGTATGAGTGTCTTAAATTTCACAAAGTTTGGTTAAGTCGTTTAGGCGATATAATGTAATAAACAAACAATTTAGTTACTTTACTATTTATAATATTAGTAAGGATGGCTATATGTATATATACATTATATGTATACATATAAGGCTATTTTGTTTAATAAAAAAGCAATAACTAAAAAATTGGTTAAAATAGAAATCTTGAAAACCTCTTTTTTGATGTCGAAAAGTATTATTTTAAAGAAAACTTTAGAAAAGAAAAAAATTATAACTATGTCGTTTAAACTTTTGTTAGCTCTTTAGAGATTGTATACTTATAAAAAAAAATTACAGAATGTATAAAAATAAAGATAAATTATAAATTTTTGTGCAGAGACCACCTAGCAACGGGAGGATAATGGGTTGATTTCATATGGTGTGCAATCTTCTACTAGAATACTATTTAATGAATTTAGCATTACATAGTGCCACTTCTATATCTATTACTATATTAAGTAGTTACACTAAATAAACCAAGTGCTTAGATAAACATAGATCAAGGGCTAGAATAGTTAAGCTAAACTATAGAACATGTATGTTTATAGCTGAATGTCGGTACATTTAAAAATATTTTTACAGATAAGCTAGCCCCTTAAAAAGATTCATAATATAACTCTCAAACATGTCTTTGTTTTTAAGATCCCGGTGCTGATTTCTGTATGTTAGGGTTAATAGGGTTAACTATAAAATAATGGCCGCAAATATTAGTTGCCTGGTAGAAATTACATATTGCACTATATTACATTTTTTAAACCAAGTTTATTAAAAACCTTATGCCAGCCGGAAGCCAGTACGCTACAAAATAACTGTTTCAGCTATATTGCTATACTGCATTTTTAATGTAGAAAAAATTGCCCGTTATGATTCTGTAGGTATGATATTATATAAAATGCTGAATTCTGTCAAAAACAAAGTTAAAAGTTCGAAGGTTAAGAGATGTTATGCTATGTACACGTGTAACTAGGTACTAAGAATTACAATTTGTGAGTCATAACACTATGCAAGAGACTTGAATGACGCACTAAGAACCGGTTTTTATAATGGAGAAGTCCATTTTCTGATAATTCCAAAGAATACTTCCACTACTAATAATCACTATCAATATTAATTAGGGCAACAATCTTTAGGTTTGTTTATTAAAATTTGCTGTAATTCGTGGCTTTACTTTAGGGAATTCGGATGACAACAGAATACGCCTGCGATATTGATATACGCCAGCCGAGTCTCAATGATTATAGGCGAGAATAATGTTAGATGAGGCTATTTTCTATTACCAATAATGCAAATCTCCCTCATCCGGGTAAAGGGGTTTTTTAATGGAATGGTAACCCTGTCGGCGCAAACGGTATATGCTGGCAGGGTATCAGTGAGGAATGAAAAGACAAGTCAGTTAGACCATCGTAACTAATAAACTTGGAATTCAACACTATTGTTTTCAGGGGGAGACGTGAAGATCGACCTGAGAGAATATATTGCTAGCAATGGGCTGGAAGTCTACTTTACTATCAATCCCTTCCCCGCCCCCTGGTAAAGGGTTAGGAAAGTTTTAGTTTAAATCTTTAAGGTAGTAAGTAAGGTTTAAGATAACTTTAAACAAATTATGCTCAGTATATTATTTAGGTTGCATTGATTAAATTAGATATAATATACCGCCTATACCTCCATAATACAATCTATATTGTGGTAGGTCGGATTGTTGGATCCCTAAAATATGGTTAAATACGATAATGACTAGCCCATTCGTCATACTCTTGAACTATTTCTGCTTGTAAGGACTGGTCTGATCAAGATTGCTGCGGCTGATTTTAATATTTAAACTTTGTTTTATATTTATTGGTTCACGTGTTCGAGATATGTTGATTGACTGAGATAAATATTAGCCTATATTTTATAGCCCAAATATTACATGTATGATATATTTCAAGACGATTGGTGAAACCGTATCTATTTATAATAGTAGTAAGGGATTAATCTCAAATATAAGTTACGATTATATATTATATATATATAAATTAACAAAATTCTGTCTTAATTTGTAAAAGTTTTGAGGTAAGTAACTGTCGAAATTCTTAGAAACAAAAAGATTATCCAAATTTCCTTCTTCTTTATATAATCTATTTGTTGGTAAAAAGGTGGAGAATGATTACAGAAATGCACAATAATAGAAAATATTTTAACATTATTTAGTTATTTAATACTGTTAAATAAATTATTATTGATCAAAATAAAAAAAAAACCGTGATAATTTACAGAACGTATAGTTTCTAACAATCTGGTTTGTTGTTATGTAAATAAAGTTATTTTCCATAGATGGAATTTCCTAAGCCTAAGTACTTAGTATTTTCTAAGTAAATGCAGAGCCTGTAATTATTATTTATGTGAATAATTGTGGAATAGAACTCTAATGATTAAAAACACGATCTAATTTTATTGTTATTGTGAGAATTTGGGAAAAAATAAAGTTCTTAATTATAAAATTATTCAGAGTTTCTAAAATACATTATATAATTTTAATATTTTTGAATTTTTGAAACGGAATTATAAGAGCCTAATTTTCACATCCAAGAACTAATCGTAATTAGAATAGCCAATATTGGTAGTAACAATATTGCCAATGCCTTGTGATGGTGTGATGTCAACAGGTGACAATTACGTGGAATTGACATATTGTTGTTTAACATCGTTCTACCTACGCCATTAGCATTATGGCTATTAACTAAATGTATGAAAAGATATAATATATTTTTGTATATAACAGGTATATATTTTGTTTTTGTTTATTTATATATTTCTATAAATAACAAATAATTCTTTTTATCATTGTAATGTGAAGTGAGTTTGTTTCCGTGCACGTAAACGAATACGTAATTGTATAGTATTTTTTTTAATGGATGATACTGGAATGGTCGACCCGTCTGCGCTAACGGTATACGCTGGCGGGGGACCAACGAGGGATGATAGGTGATGATGAAAGTAGGTTTGTTAGTTGTCGGTAACAATCCCTTTCCCCCAACGTATAGTATTTGTAATAGCGAGAATATGAGTTACCTTCAGGTTTGGTTCAATAATATTTCCTAACCACGGTTAATTCCATAATATAACAGGGTGTAACGGAATAGGTGTACACGAAATCCGAAGACACTATGTAGTCATGAAATTGATTAATTTTCCTGAAGAAACATGAGTCGAAATGACTGTGAAAATGTTTCTTAAAGATTCCTTATATTATTCCTATAACCACTGTTATGTGGTGAACTTACAAAGTAGCGAAATCTTATAAATATATTTTTTAGCTATTAAGTTTACTTCATGTATGTCTGTTGTATTATGTCTGTTGTATGTTTATGTCATTCGTGAATATTGTTCATAAATACTTGTTATGAGTAGTTATCAACAGTTGTTCTCTGTTATGAGGAGAAATTGAAATTATCATCATCATCATTACACAAACAACACTATTGTGTTGTTTGTGTGATTGTAATAGTGTCATTAGCATGACACCGGTGAGAGGTGACCATGAAGCAGGACAGTTGACCCATCGTAACAAATTCAACAATTATTAACCACGATGGTCACCTGATAGTTTATATTGCTAGCAATGTAGTAATTAGATCCCATTACTAACAATACCTTTCTCCACGAAATGATTAGATTAACGACCTTGTACTAAATGTACCTACTAGTAGTGAAACTGAACATTTTTCGAAAGAAACATTGGTCGTAGTTGATATTTTTTCTGATGCTGACACAGTGGGTTCATCTGTCAACTTAATGTGGGAAGCTTCAAATTTTTTCTTGTTATCGACTCAAGGAGACTTTGGAAATCTTTCGCTAAGTTTAATCTACACATATAAAACTATTCTAAATTTTAAATTAATATCTTTAGTGCAGTGGCAAAGAGATAATGAATTACACCATAACCATTATTTGTAACATTTTTGTAGGAAAATCTAAAACTGGCAGTTTATTTTTCATCAATAACAAATATTTATAAAATGTAATTGTATAGAATTTAGTAAAAAGTCAAACAGGTATTTCCAATTTATTGTCGTCATTACCATAAATAGCTAGTGGATGATGAGAGTATGCCTATAATTAACACCCAATGTTAATCGCGACTATGACCATGACTTACAGATGTTGTCAATCTAAATTGAAGAATAAAAGCTAGAAAAACATATTATTGAAACATTTATTTTTCTAGCTTTATATATTTTTTATTTTAAATTTATTGGTTTGCGCGCTTCGTCGTATGCTGTGTTTTTAATATGTAGGTAGGTACTTAACTACATATATATTTAATCAAATGCTAGCACACTCAGACAAGACAGAGAGATTTACGCGTATATTCTAATCCCATTGGATCGAGTTGTGTAAATTTTTCAACATATTGATAATTTACGATTCTCAGACGTTGAGTTTACTCATTACAAGAAAATATTATGAAATATTACAATGTGCTTTAAATTATTTTCTTAACTTTGAGCATCAATAAACTAATAAGACATTATTATTATTATTTCAGCCATTAACTGTCCACTGCTGGGCATAAGCTTTCCCCTTAAGCGGAATTTTGCCAATAGTTGCCACGCTTAGCAGGCGGGTTGGCAATCGCAGTTAGGTCTTTGGTGATGTTTTAAGAGTGACGCTGCTGCCCATCCCTCGCCCTCCCTTAGTCGCCTCTTACGACACCCACCCACGGGAAAGGAAGGGGTGGCCCATTTTATGCCGGAGCACACACGGCAACATACGACATACGAATAAGAAATATTATCAATGAATAAATTTCATTACCAATAAATAAATAATAGCAGTAATTCATATTTGCGAAAGTATTGCTGAAAAACACTATGAAACAGGTGTCAGTTTTTATTTTTGCTTTTGTGAAATATAACAAACAGCTCTGGGCATACCATCTAGTGCTATCTAATGTAAATTAAGCAAAGCTTGTATCTAGTATGGATACAGTTACTCATACACCCATTTCTATACAGACAACTATAAATACTAATGTATATGCAAAGAGGATAGAATCCACAGCTATTAATTTAAACAAAATAAGTGATTCACTTAAACAAAATATTTTTTATTTTAGTAATTTTAAATATAATAATTTTTAAATTGAAATCTTTTATGAGTCTATCGCCTCGTTCAGAATGCAAATCAGCCAAGAAACTTAACTTTTACTTTCTTCAAACTAAAGTGTATTGTTATAAATTATAATTTTGTGAGTACAGTAAACAGCACAAGAGTACAATAGTGCTATAATCTAGTTAATATTTCGTAGAAATTATAAAGAATAGCTTAGAACATGTTACTACTAGCTTAAATTCCTCAATAAAATTGCACATATAATCATACAGACTATACGTCATCGTAGGCAGATGAGGTTATTCTACAATATTTTCTCTATCCTCACTAACTCCTTATCACCAGAATACTTAAAATGTAATTTCAGCTACCTCTTTGATTCTAACAACTCACTTGCTCTCTTTATCTATATCACTCTAGAGGCCTCACGACTAAGCAATGCGCTACCCATTAACATAAAACATCTGTAAAAAAATTGCCTTAAAAATGTCTACAAATCCATTATGAAGAAAATAAGATAAAATATATTATCGTGTATGGATGTATGTATGTATGTATATATATTGCATCTGTATATTGTAAATAATATTTGTATAATGTATTTGTGTAAGTACATTTATATAGCCATAATGTGTATTAGTTCTTTGTATATATTACATAATTTGTGAGTTAATATAGATACATCTGTAACTATTTACTTACAAGAGATTTCAATATTTTTGACCGCATAATACATTTATGTTTTCCCAAACGTTGACTGAATTGATGCTTATAGCAGCATTAAGTCCGGCTTTTGTACCAAATATTTTTTTAATGTGGTCAATAAAGATTAAATAATTTGAGTCACGTTTTACACTCTTTGAAAGAGAGGTGATTGTTAATAATGGCTACTTAGCGTTGCTAAGACAACTTGAGCTCCACTTGGTACCCTCTGGAAACCGTATTACTAATTCTTAGTGATTTCATTACGACGGATGAACTATCTGTAGGAGGTTGACCTGTCAGGTTATTATTTACTAGTTTGCTTGTAAATGGGCTTTAATTCCCATTGCTAACAAATTTCTCCTCTCACTATAATTCATTCATGTTTATAAATTCAAATATGATACCTCGTAGGTACTTTGCAATTAATTTAATTGCAATAATAATTAATATAACGAGCAGAGAAAATAAAGTAGGTATGATTAACAATCAATTTGTTAATTTTCCATTATTAAATAACGCTAATAATGGAGAATTAATAAATTGAATGCATATTCTAAGATTATTTATTTAGGAATTTATTTTCTCATGAAATTAGATACCAATTATCGACCAAGGTATGAATAGAGTTTGGTATTCTACTTCTAGAACCTTACTTCTAGAATTATGAAATTTTTAATTCTTTACACTACTGCTTTTCATTTTAATAAAATGGATTGGAATACCTAATATAGTTCCAAATATTAGTTATGCATTATGTAATATTGATTATAAACTTCCTTATTGATTTACAGTAAAATATTCTAACCCTCTGTCTCGGACTGTTTTCTATAATAATAAAAGAAATCGAATTTTATTTGTGATTAAAGTTTTTCAAATATTTTCAATGTTTTGGAGTATCCATGGTTATAAGTGAAAAAAATCTTGGATGTCTTATTTAAAAAAAAAAAAATCGTAATGTTTTCTTCCTAATAAAATAGTCACTTTGAAAAAAATTATGTAATATCGACATAAAATGGAAAATTAATTATGTTGATATTTGTACTAATTCTCACGATATTGTGTGAAATATAAAATAAAAATTGAGTGAAATTGAGATTGAAAGAAACTTTTTGAAGCCATTGTTGTTTTTTTAATACAGTCCTTTCTTAAATTGCAATAAATAAGAAACATCCAAGATCGAAGCGTTTACATAATGTATAATAAAGCTATGATCGTTAATGTAATTACACTTCCTAAACGACAGTGACGAATATTTCCTCGAAATAGTTCGGAACAAGTTTTCCATGTGTCCACAATGCTTAATGTGTATAAAAAGTCGACGACGTCTGACCATTTAATTGTATAGACACATCACAGTAACAGACAACGTCTACCTAGTGTTTAGTGGTGACATATTAATAAATCAAGGTAGGTCAGACCACGCATGGTCGCGTAACTAGTATCAGTACGTGTATTAGTACCTAGTTTGCGTTTTAAGTGATACTATCTAGTGAATAATACGCAATTAAAAAAATTTTGTTCAAGTTAGTTAAATTTTTAATATTTAAACACTACAACGATGGCGTCTTTATAAAAAAAATGTTTAAGTCTTCGAGTCATAATGATTTTGAGTAATAGTGGACACAAGGTTTTCTTGTATAATGGTAAAATGACGTATAATTCGAGGTAGCACATATTGTAGGTAATTAAAAATTATCAATAGTTCTTATATATGTCATTATTTAGTACAATAAAAATAAACAACATAAATTTAAAAAAGGAAATAGTCATGTTGATTGATTTATGTTTATTACTGCATCGATTTTACAAGAATTATATACATACATAATATCGGTAAAAAACGTTAGAAGAAAAATATAAATACTTATAATGAAAATTTATTCGTTAACAAATATTAAAAAAAAAAGTCTTTTCCTACAGTTTTTTTATATGTAATACTTATCCGAATAACTGAACCTGTAGGTAAATTATTTTTTTTCTAAGTTTATTTATTTAAACTTTAATACATAATAAAATTCTGTGTACATTTGGCAGACTTAACATCGGACGATGTTCTTTACCAGTCAATCATTTAGCAAACCAAGAAATAAGTAGGCGCTTTATTGTGTTTGTGTTTTTTTTATTATACCTTAACAAGCAAATCGAAGGCCCATCTGATGAAAAGTGACATCTGTTGTTAATAGAATACATTATGATGCTCATTGTAACCCTCGTACGCTGCCATTTATTGTATTTTACATATACTGCATTTCGATATATTTCAGAATGAAGACTTGCATCGTTCTTTGTCTTATCGCCTTTGTGGTCGCAGTTGTGGGCCGTCCAGGTGGCCAATACACTGACAGATATGACAATATTAATTTGGACGAAATTCTGGGCAATCGTCGTTTACTGGTGCCCTATATTCACTGCGTTCTTGACGAAGGAAGGTGTACTCCTGATGGTAGGGAGTTGAAATGTAAGTAACATTTAGCTTTAGAGAATTACGTAAAATTTTATTTAATTAATAATAATAATAAACTTTATTAACAAATACAGGGTTGCACAGTTACATGTTTTTTGCCCTAGCTTACAAATTAGGGTAACCTGTGCCTTGTAAGCTAGTTACTTTCAACACACAAGAACTAATACTTTGTATTTGTACATGCAGAATTAACAATATTAAGCTACAATCATAATAAACATAATGATAAATAAGGAAAAAAAAAGAATAGAAAATTACAGTTAATTAAATTTTTAAATCTGTAACGTTCAGTGTGTGGTGTGAAAGAAGGTGAACAGTGTGAGTGTGTGTATGTTTAAAGTGAGAGGAAAAGTGGTATTAATGTGTGTACTATTTTGTTTGTTTTTATGCTTCTACATATAAATCCAGTAACTCTATTGAATATATATTATATATATATATATATATATATATATATATATATATATATATATATATATATATATATATATATATATATATATATATGGGTATATTTGTTAGAAATGTTTAATATATTCATTCTTCTTGATCTCTTCTTAAAAGACTATATGTCCATGGTACTGCTCATGTCTATAGGCGACGGTTACCACTTTTCATCAGGAGGGCCGTCAGCTTGTGTGCCATTCTAAGTTGTATAAAAAAAAAGACTAAGAAGGATTGTGTGTATGCTACGCGATATCTTCGCAATGCTGTTTTAATCTGTAATCTTTCATTGGAAATTCATGTTTGATCAACGTTTTGAATTAGAACACTGTAATGTTGTGAAACCACTGAATTTCACAGTATGAACCTCCAAACACCTCTATTTTCTTCATCCATATCCATATTATATGTGTATTTATTTAACTTAAATGTAAATTTCACTTGCATAATTTTAACTAAATAAATACAAACACTTATAAATACAAATGTGAACTAAATAAAAATCTTGTAAAATTACATTAACTTTTTAAATTGGGCTCTCAATTAGCTTTGCCGCCCCAAGTTTCTGAAAAACTTAATCCACCATGTATATAACTTTACACTACCTATAAACTAAAAAAGTAAAATCCAAGGTTTCTGAAGTAATCTTTACTTTTTTTAAATATAGTGAAAAGACCATTATCGATAGCAAACTCCTTCTGGACTCCCTCATATAAAAAGATCATCCATAAGAGTATCTAAAAATTTTTCAGCATTTTAAAAATTATCTATATTCATATTTGTAATTACAGCTCACATTAAAGAGGCTTTGGAAAATGACTGCGCCAAATGTACAGAAAATCAACGCAACGGCTCCCGCCGGGTCATCTCTTATTTGATAAACCATGAACAGGAATATTGGAATAAGTTGGCAGCGAAGTACGACCCAACTGGAAAATACTCCAAGAAATACGAGAATGAATATAGGGCTGCCCAAGGTTAACTCTAAAGAAAAGGTGAACCTATCAAGACAAAGTATAACTCTACTTTTTACCTCTTCTTTTTATCATTTTCCTGGAACGAATAGGTGAAACAGTAGCCAAAGCCTTGATGATATACTTTCGAAAATAAAGTGTATTAAATTTTATAATAATTAATAACAATAGCTACTATTATAATAAAGAATCTACACTTCATCTAATGCAAAATGGATTTCCAAGAATTATGTTATATGTAAAAAGTTTAAAACAACACAAAGCTAATGTAGAAAATATCAGTAGATATTATTATGTAGACATTAAATATGATCACTAATGTTTTGTTTTTAATGTGCTGTCTAATGTATTCTGATATTTTATAGTAGTTATAAAAATTCTTATTGTAAACTGTACAGATGTAAAATTGTGATATTATCTCTATCTACAATAATAATGCAGTATTAATTAGTATTAAAAATGATTTGAACAAATTTTTTTTTTATTCATTAGGTACTTTTATTCTAATAATATTTTGCACAGAATCGAAGATGCATCTAGCAATTATTATAGGGAGAGTGGCATATCCTCAAGTATTGCTTAAGTGGAATTGCGAATTAAACAAAACCTGTTTATCATATTTGTTATTTATTTATTAGTTGCAGTAGAATCTATATAGACATTATTATAGAATAATGTCTATATTTAGAATAATAACTAAATCCTTGTTAAAATTTTCGTAGCACACATTATATTTTAGTGTAATAACTACTAGTTTAACTTATATATAATTTGATCGAGAAAGTTCGACTAACTTTGGGTTTCTAGTTTTTTTTTTTAGTTTTTAGTCAGGCTTCCGCTTGCCTTACAGCTGCTTAAGACTAAGAAACCCGAATGATTTCGAAACTAGTCGAGCTTTTTTGACTAAATTACACTAAGTTAACCGGTAGTTATTACATTAAAACTAAATACTTGTAAACTAAGTATAATAATAAAGCCTTTATTCGCTGACCACAGTTTAACTTAATTTACTTTAACTTAGGTACTACTTGTTAATAAGCTAGCTTACTGGCAACCATTATGTTGGTCAGGTTGTCTGTTGACATAGGCCTCCCCCAATTGCTTCCACTTCCCTCTATCCCTGGCTGACTTTCTCCATCCTTTAGGTAAATCGTCCTCCCATCTTTTGATTTGCCCTCCTCGTTGTCTTTTCCCATTTCTAGGATACCATTCTATTACATCCTTCGTCCATTTTTCTTTGTTGGTTCTCATTATATGTCCAGTACAATTCCATTTAAGTTTTCTTATTTTTTGTACACGTCACTGATCTTCGCTTTTTTTTTCTTATTTTTGAAGTTGTCCATCGATCTCTTAGTCTGATGTTTAGCATACTTCGTTCCATGTTGCGCTGACAAACTACAAGTTTTTAGTTATCTTTATTCTTAGCAGGCCAAGTTTGACATCCATATGTAAGACATGGTATACTAAGTACGTAGTATTAAATACAGTAATATTAAACACAATGTGGGGTATTAATTTACAGCTCAGTCAATTGAGAGAATAAATTTGATCAACTAAATATAATAAACAAAGCTAATATATATGTACTTATATTGCTTTCTAATAAGATTTGATTTAATTATAAAAAAAAAAACAGAGGGTAAGCAGGAACATTACAAGAGTTCCTTTTTTAATTTAACAGAAATTATAAATGATTATCATCATCATGGGGATCATTAAAAACTTTCATTTACTCTTACAATATGTTTGTAATAAATGTTTTAAAGAATTTAAATAATATCAATATAATTTCAAGCTTGTTATTCCGGATCCTAAAATTGCAATAACATATACATAAACTATTATGTCTGTACCTACTTACTGAGACAACATCACATAGAAAATCTTAGTGTATACGGGCAAAGGTGAGGGACAAATGTTAGTATATTATAATGTTTTATGTAGGTAATATTTTTTACTTCTGTAGTGTCAAAGTTGCTTACGTTTGTATATAAAAGATGGCTGTGATGCGATGGCTGGCTCAAACGACATTTAGTTTCAAGATTCAGCAAATAGTATCAGGTACTTAGTTAATCATAGTGCTATTATAATAACGTTTTAAAGAAGTTATAGGAATATTGTGTAATATATGCATACGAATCCGTTAACGCCATGTTATTGTGAACCATAGTGATATATGTAGTACGATAAATGTGCACAGTAATATAGTGAAATTTCTAAAAATATTATTAAATTCCAAAAAACAAAAAATTAGAGTCCCCCCTATAAAAGAAAGTAGGCTAATATTTTTGAGTATATGGATATCATTATCATCATATCAGCTTTTAATTGTCCACTGCCGAACATAATTCGGGCCATAATTCGGGAGGCAACTTCCCATGGTATTTGCCATTCGAGGGGTGTTACCAGTTGTTGCGATGATTGGCAGGCGGGCTGGTAACCGCAGTTAGGCTTTAGTGATGAAGTTCCTTTAGTCGCCTCTTAAGGAACCCACAGGAAAGGAAGAGATGGCTCATCCAATGCTGGGGCTACACGGCAACCGCACAATATATGAATATGTTTATGCATAATTATATATCCATATACCCAAAAGTGATCGGAATTGTGGTGCAATGTGTAGTATAAATAGTTTAGCAAATTTTATATAATGAAATATCGCTTTTTAGGAAATACCATAGAGATCGTAAACAGTAGAAAACTTACGAAGATTATATTATTGTATTTTTGTGAATTTTTCATGTTAGTTTTTGATTTGCTTATATCGCGTGTCTACGCTTACATAAAGACTAGTTAGCTGTGCCCATGATTTCGTTTGTGTGATTAGAACATATTGATTTACTTATACAAAAATATTGTATTATACCAAATTTCATGACGATTATGCACCAAGAGTTATGAATCTCACTTTCACATTTATAATACTAGCTGACGCAGCTTTGCCTGTGTGAATCAGTGTATATTCTATGTTCTAAATTGGGATACAACCTATTCGTATTCAAATTTTATTCCAAATTTTGTTTATATCATTTTAGTAATTTTTGCGCAAAATGCTAACAAACATCCATACCATACATACGTCTTCACATACGTTCCCATTTGCAATAGTAAGTAAGATTAAAGATTTAACATGACTTTACCTTTTCAGAATGAAGACTTTTATAATTTGCTTGATGAGTTTAGCAGCCGTGGTCATGGCCTATCCTCGGGAGACATACACGGACCGTTTCGACAACGTTAATTTGGATGAAATACTTGAAAATAGACGCCTTTTGGTGCCCTATATCAAATGTATACTTGATCAAGGAAAATGCTCCCCCGATGGAAAGGAACTTAAATGTAAGTTGAACATCCGTTAAATTTCCTTAAAAACTACAGTATGTGATTTTTCAAAAAGGTTGTATTAAAGTTTCTTCAGGATCGGTGTACGTTAAACCTGACACCCTTAGTGTTGCAGGCGTCCTTAGGCTATAGTTACCGTTTACTATCAGACAGGCTGTATGCTTGTTTGCTACCTTAGTGGTAAAAAAATATATTTAGTACTTAGGAAAATTTTATACATTAATTGTTCAAAATGAACCTTTTTCATACATTGATAAATGTAGTTTTTTATTAAAAAAGAAAATTAAAAAAAAACTAATTAATTATAACAAAATATATATTACATCAAGTCAACAAACGGCATTTTTACTTGAAATTAAATATAAATAATAATATATACAACAAGAACCAGCATATTTTATAAACATTAATGTGTTTTAGTAATGAAAAAACTTTTTTATATTCTACAGGTATCAGTAGATTATCACAATCTGAATAACAGATAAAACTTACTTTTACGAAATAGTTATATCCCAAATTTGTATTGATTAATAATTTAATAATTTATTGTCAACAGTGCACATCAAGGAGGCCTTATCAAATGACTGCGCTAAATGTACAGAAAAACAGAAAAGTGGTACTAGAAAAGTATTGACGCATATTATTAGCAATGAAAAAGATTATTGGAATGAATTGAAGGCTAAATATGATCCCGATAACAATTTCTCAAAAAAATACGAAAAAGAATACGGTTTAGTGTAATTACTCAATACTATTAGAAAGAGAACACTGTAAAATGGTTTAGTGAGAACATAATGAACATATGTAGGTAATGAAATTAAAAGAATAAAAAATAAAGAATTTATTTAAAACTTATTTTTTTAGTTTCATTTCACGTTTGCTCATTTATATAATTGAGATTGTGTTCCACAAAAAAAGTACTTCTGTTCTGGCAAAATCAGTTATTTTGACTTAAAACTAAATTACTGAAGCGGTTTTGATAAAATTTCTGTAAGACTAGTCTATAAGTATATCCTTTCAGATAAAAAAAGGATTTTCCAAATTGGTTTCCAACTACGGAATAATAAAGTAACAAACATAAAAAAAACAACTGAAATGAGAACCTCCTTTAAAAGTCTTTTTATAGTCGGTTGATAAAATTATCACTATGCATTTATATATTTTGTCAATATATTATATAATACATTTGTATAGTTATACTTAGATGTACCTACTCGTATTATTGCTATTTATTTTAAGTTGATGCAGTCCTAGTTTTTTTTTAATCTTGAGACTGACATACGAATAGTAACTATAATGAAAAACGATTGACTGAAGAATTAAAAAGTCATATTTGATTTTGAATAAAATGAGTGCAAGAAGATACGTAATATCTAAATCTTTGGAAGGCAAGATTCCAAAAGCGCTCTAAGAGTAGGTGGGCTAAAAGTTATTTGAGCAAATAGATGAAATTGTTTGCCATGGATATGGGCTCGTTAAGATATAAAATAGAGAAAGAGGAATAAAAGCTAACGATAGAATTTATAAAATTATGCGGAGAATATTTAGAAGTCAGAGAAAAGCCAAATAGCGTAGCAAAAGTAAATAGCAAAATAAATATAAAAATAAATAACATTATGTATCGTCTCTTCTGTATAAAAATGAAGATTAGTTATTTTGAAGAATTAAAGTAGAATAAATGCATACATGCACGCAGTTACCATTTTGCATCAGTTGGGTATAACCATTGGCATAGTTAGTGTTTTTTCTTTGCTAGAAGTTTCAACAAATCTGAAATTTCCAGAAATGAATTAAACTTTTAGAAGGGCTATAATACGTTTAAATTTGTGATTAAAAAATATTTGTATTTGTTAACTTGTATTGTTAATATTTTAAGGTCGGGGTAAAATCAGTTTTTCAACAAGGGCTTTGGTAATAATATTGAAAAGGTTAGGAACCACTGACCTAGTACATTAGATATTTAAGTCAGCACTCAAGTCAGCCAGACTCGGAACATCTTTACTAGCAGCAATATTTTATAACATCCTACTTTTCAAAGACGTGCAATAATGCTAGTTAATATCAAAACGAAAATGTGAGTCATTATTGAGAGCACTTCTAACTTGACATTTAATTCTGCTAACGTAGAAAATCTGCATTCTTTTATGCGTTCGCTGCAAGCATGTAGGTAGATGTCGTACAAAACACGACGTGATGGCGCATCACTTTTGTTTTTATATCTTCAACTAGCTTTTACCCGTGACTTCTTCCGTGTGACCAAAATATGTTTATTGATCGGAATAAAAAGTAGTTAATATTCTTTTACATCCCATATAAGTATTACGTGTCAATCAAATTTCGTAGTACGAACAAACTTTCGCATATATACCTAATATTAATCATCATATCATATCTCTTTTTTTTCTTTTAATAGGTGATAATGAAATCGTAACCGCGCCTGCGCTATCGGTATACGCTGGCGGGGCACTATTGAGGGATAATAGGTGACGATGAAAGTAGGTCAGTTAGCCTATCGTGACGAACATCATATCATATCAGCCTTTACTGTCCACTACTGAACATAAGCCTCCCTTTGGGTGTCTTGCCAGTCGCTGGCACGCTTGGTAGTCGGGTTGGCAACCGCGATTAGGCTTTGGAGACGTTTTAAGTTAGTTACGACGCCTACGACAAAGGAAGGGGTGGTCTATTCTATGCAGTTACTACATGGACATTTATAATACTAGTAAGGATATATTTGAATATCTGCAGAATACTGCCGAGGTTTTCCCAAGTTTTCCCAGCACGGTGTTCTTCAAAAGGAGGTAAAGAGGTTTCTTCAGGATCGGCAACGCGCGCGTTATACCACTGGTATTGCAGGCGTTCAAGGGGTGCGGTAACCGCTCACCATCAGGTGGGCCGTATGCTTATTTACCACCTCAGTGGTATAAAAAAAAGAATCAAATTTAATTTTGCATTCTTTTACGTTAAAAAAGGTAAAAAAATAATAAGAGAAAGATGAGGTCAAAAGAACAATAGCAACTAGGTATGTGTAAACTTTGGAACTTTTGGAAGTAAAAAATCTCATGAAATAGACTACTTCTAGATGGCGTATCAAGATTAAACATACACCAAATTCATAGTAAACTTTCAGAAACACACTGTGAAAGTTAAATCCAATCTTTTCGACCAGAGGGAGACTTTGTACAAAAGTCGATTGCTTGGGTACCTCTGTCCCATTCGCGTTTCAACCGTGAAGCAGTTGTATTTGCATGGCTGTATTTCGGTTTGAAGGGTAAGATATGGCCTGAATTTACTGAGTACTAAAGAATAACACCTGAGTCCTCAGGAATGGCAACGCATGGGGGGTATCATGGGCGAAACAGTACACTCTGTTATGTCCATGGTACTGCTCATGTCTATAGACGACGGTTACCACTTTCCATCAGGTGGGCCGTTAGCTTGTTTGCCATTCTAAGTTGTATAAAAAAATCTTATGAAATAGTTTCTTTCTGATGTCGGCACAAAAGTACAGACAGACAAAAATTCTAACAATTATTACTTTGACTTCTATTATTGTTATTAAAACGCTTTCTATACTTTTTTCTTAAATATCTCCTATGTATAGACATGATCTAGTTATAATCTTACTACATATTTATATATTTAATCTAACCATTATCAAATCAAATCAAATGTCCGTGTATTCTCGGCATATAGGCCACCCCTTCCTTTCCCGTGGGTGTCGTAAGAACCGACAAAGAGAGGGCGAGGGATAGGCAGCAGCCCTTTTAAAACATCTCTAAAGCCTGACTGCGGTTGCATCCGCTTGGCAAGCGTGACAACTACTGGCAAAATACCCTAAGAGGGGTATTCTGCCAGTAGAGGCAAAATACCCCTTTTAGGGTATTATGTTCAGCAACGGACAGCTAAAGGCTGATACGATGATGATGATTTAATCAAATTACGTAGTACTGTAGGTACAATCACACAATAATTACTGCGGATTACTAGTCCATCCATATCGAGCGTAACTAGTCGTGCACATGTTGATGGAATATTACTGTAGGCACCAATATTACTAATATAATAAAACTGCTATGAAACTAGACGTCTGTACACGGTAGATATTAAAAAAAAAATTATGTGAGGGGTCTTAATAAGAGCAATAAAAACCAAAACAATGATTTTTTTCTGTCTGTGTAAATTTTGTCTGTCTGTATGTTTGATCCAATATCACGTAAAATCTACTATACCAAATCGTATGCGGTTTTCGTTGTTGTATTATTGAGGGTCTACCCTAAACACTGGTATACTCGTATATTGATATGCTATCTAGAAATGATCTATCTAGCGGGCAAAAAGTTATTACATTATTCTAGTTTATTTTGAATAAAAAGATGCACAACAGGGTATGTACTATTAATATATATGTATGTATTTATGTACCGGCTGACTCGAAAAACGTTGTTTTGCTTTATTACTATCAATTAAGAGAGATACGAAAAAATAGGATAATTTTAATCGACAAATTAAAATTATTTTATCTCTCAAGTTGAAGCAAACAATACCTACACATATGCGAAATTTCATTAAAATCGGTTGAGCGGTTGTGGTTTCGAATTGTTATTGTATAAACCTATATATATATAATAAATTTCTTAGTCGATTTGCATATTTTTTTAATGAAAAGATTGATCTTTAGGATTTAAATGCTAATTTTGTTGATATTGACGACTATACGACTTTTATGTATAAAAAATATTTGTAATGCTTAAAAAATACTCGTTCTATTATAGTATATTTTATTATTCTTAGCGAAAATAGTAACCTACCCTAATAGAGTTTCCATTCTTCATATAAGCTTATCTTCTTATAAATAAGATCTTCTTTTCACTAATTCATGCATTTTCTTCCAGCCAGCTCTATCCCAGGCCATATCCTTGACCTCCCTATACAACATGACATCTAGTGTTTCTTTTATCTGCCCCATGTAGTTATTCCTCGGTCTTCCTCTTCCTTTTTTGCCGTCTATTTTTCCTTCTACTATGCTCTTTAAAAAAAACGTCATGTCGTATAAGATGACCCAGCATTTTGCCTCTTCTATTCTCTGTTGTTTTTATTAACGTTCGTTTCTCATTCACCTTTTTCAAGACTTCCTCATTCATACTTTTTATGTCCAGCTTATGCTGGACATAAAAAGTAATGAATGAAAACCTTTCCATGCTCCTCCATGTCCACATTTCGAATGTCTCAAACATCTTTTTTTCTTTTTGCATAAGGTAATAATTTTTGAGTAAGATATAATAATTTTATTATATCTGACAAAAGCTTAGGTTATGAATGGAATAGTCATTCAGTACCACTACTGTTCATTTGCCATTGTTCTAATAGTTTTATGCAATATAGCAAATAAACTGACGGATCACCTGGTAAAAAGCGGCAGTCATCACCTATAAACACGAACAGCCATTACAGACGTTATGCCTGCAAATCTTGTAATATCACTGCCATATTTAAATGCATTTAAATTTAATAAAATAATAATAATAATAATAAATTAACATTAAGTTCCACAAAAAAAAAACTGACTACTTGATAAAAATATTCCTTTTTTGGGCAATCGTGTAATTAGTATAAATAAAACTGACACAAGTTTAAACTTTAAAAGTCAAAACAATAAGTTAAAAATAATCATGAAATCAATTCTGTATTTTGGTAAAAATGTTATATAACATACTTAAAATATCCGCTACATTTCTATTTTTAACATTCCACATTTTTTGCCCACTCAACGGAACAGTTGAATTGAAAGCCTTCTTTTATTAAAAATCGATTGAAAATGGGAAAACCCTAAAATTGCTATGGAATAATTATGAGGTAGCTATCTGCATGATCGCGTGACGTATAACGTTCAATCAATATGTTTTTATTCATATTTAACTTGACATTCGTAGAATCGTAAACCCGTTTGTGGCTGTTGATCTCAGGACTGGGAGCCAACGACCACCGGCTTACCTAGATAGTATAAAAGTTACGGTCTCGGACCACACTACACGCACTATAAAAATACTGGCCAACTGTGCTACTCGATCCGTAACTTTTAAAACTATTAAAGTAAGTGAGATGTATAATATTATTAGTATAAGTGCATATATTAACAGTGAACGTTTAATTTTATGTGATTTTTTTTTAATTTTTATTCCAAAAGTTTTTTTTTTTAATTTCAGTTTTATGAAAGAGACATTTGTTAATAACACTTAAATGCGATTGTTACCTAACTAATGTAGCTACCTTATTGTTTCTTACAAACATGTTTTTCTATTTATTTTTATTATTAAACTGGATATGAGGCTAGTGTCGTAAATAACTTTATGTTTATATATAACCTGGAAGGACCTGTATATGCAGAAGGTGTTTATTTTTAAATTTATATATTGAACTAGCGATCTGGCCTGGATTTGCACGGGTAGATAGAAATTTCGAAAATAAATAGCCTGTTTTAATCGCTGATGATGTACGAGTAGCTTTATATGTGCAAAATCTTTTAAAATAGTTTTTATATGTTTTATAATATTACTATTATTTAATATTATTATTTTATAATTTTATGTTTTAATAATTCATGCGAGAATCATTTCTACTTTTTAGGTTTTTAAATTTTGCCTGCCTATTTATGACTTAAATAAATAATATATACGCCTGCCTAAATAATATGGCCTTATATCTATTGTTAACATCTGTATACTTACCATGTTTCTTAAATTAATTTATAGATTGTGTAGTTTTCAAATTTATCCGTTATAAACAAACAATCAAGTCTTTTCTATTTTGTTTATTATTTCCTTTTTGTACAATACTATATATATTTAAATCGATAAATATTATTAGGATAGCTTTATTTGTTTAAAAAAGATTTTACGATATTTCAATGAATATGTAAAAATAGATGGGAAATAAATAATTAGGGAGCAATTTTATAAATATGCTTACTTATCTTATACTTGTCGTACACATATTGTCGATGAAGAATAACGATAATTAATTTTTAACTCGTAAGTAAAAAATAAATTACAATATACACTCGTAATAAATTAAATACGAGTGTACATTGTAATTTTTAAAAGTAATAAGAATTTGTTTTAGGACCATATATTTAGCAATGTGCAAAGAATGATTGATTATGATATTGTAAAAAAATATTTCCTTTCAATTTTATAACACTCTTGTAAATGATGAAATAAAAACATAAAATAAACAACTAATACCAAATATATTAAAGTAAAGGACATAAACTGGTTAGATACGTCTTTATGAATTTTAGACTACCTAATATAATTAAGGTGACAAAAAATAAAAATAAATTTGTCTTATATAAATAGAACGCCATTATTATTATAAGAAACTATTATAAATTGTTACACAGTTAAAAATTTTCCGTCCATAAAAGGAAACAATATAGGGTTTTATAACGGACTTTTTCCCTAGTATTTAATGATGTATTGCTTTAATAAAAATGTAAAGGTTTATATTATATTGTTATTCTATAGTAATGTGCAACTTCTTATATTTCAGAATGAAATCCGCAACAGCTCTCCTTGTGTTGACAATTGCAGCGTTCGCAGCTGCCCAAAACGAGCAGTACACCGATAAATTCGACAATGTAAATTTGGACGAGATTCTCTCTAACAAACGTTTACTTGTGCCTTATATCAAGTGCGCTCTCGACCAAGGAAAGTGCACAGCTGACGGCAAGGAACTCAAATGTAAGTTCAACGCAAATGTAATTCAAACCGATAGCTGATACATTGCATCCCTAACTAAGCACAAATAATTTTATTAGTTTAGATTTATCCGTAAAGGATTTTTAAGTGGTTTTTATATGCTTTTATTTCTTCATAATACATTTGGTATCTTAGATTACAAATTACAAGGTTTAGAAAACATCTAAGAACAAGGATTTATTTATCAAGCTATATAATTATAACAAGAAATCCAAAAACTTGAAAAATTTTCATAATTTTAAATTTTAAAAATTCGGAAAATTATTCCAAGAAGTAGTAAAATATATACATTTACATTTATTATTTTTACTTAATGTAATTCAGGTTATATATATATATATATATATATATATATATATATATATATATATATATATATATATATATATAAACCTCCCAATAGTGACAGACCTGTGTTCAGCAGTGGACAGTTAACGGCTGATGTGATGATGATGATAACGGATTCAGGTTCTAAATTTATCCGTATATTACATTTTGTGCTCAAAGACATATAGTCACGTAATAATGCTAAAATATTGCCCTAGAACATTAAAAATTACCTACATTTTAGAATCTTCGTCTTGCCTGGTTTATGGCTAATTTTAAACTTTTGCGTTAATAATGCATATTTTGAATACACTATCAGAAATAGTACCTACATACCTGATTTTTATTGCCGATGTTTCGACGTGGTCATGGCAGGTCTGAAGCGAACGGCGTCGTCTTTTGGAAGCTAACGTATTTTCTTTGGCCATTCTCCCATTATTGTCTATCACTGTTGTTGTCTATATCCACCCTACCTATTAAGTCCCCGACAGTGTATTTAAAATATGGTTTATGGTTACCCCTGAGAATTAGTCTATAGGTGTAATTGTGTTATTTATTATTAATTTATATTACAATTTCATCACAGCACACATTAAAGAAGCATTAGAGAACTACTGCGCCAAATGCACAGAAGCACAAAAGGACGGCACCCGCCGGGTGATCGGTCACCTTATCAACAACGAGCCTCAGTACTGGGAAGAACTTACCAACAAATATGACAAAGATCGCAAATACGTCGAGAAATACGAATCCGAATTAAAAACAATTCAAGGTTAAAACTTACTAATGGCGCTTCTACGAGTCTGTGATAAACAATGGTTTGACGTTTAAAAATATATTGGTGAAAAATCATTTGTTAAATTGGTTGAGATTTGGTGTATCATCATTTCTTTAATTTCATCATTTCTTTAATGTAAGAATGTTCAATGGGAATAAAAAAATTACATGTTAATTGTTGTGTTTTTTTTATATTCAATATTAAATTAATTATTCCTGGTGATCAGCGAATAGAAAGCTAGCTTTCAAGATGTATGTATATTTATTTAAATAACTTTTTTGAGCAAAAGAAAATAGAATTCAAAAAATACCATTAGCATTCTCTACCGATCAACCATTGGGATGAAAAGTGAATCACAAACCCGTTACTTCATTATTGGTGTAGGTTAAGAAAATAACTGCTAGTGATGTAATACATAAGATAATACAGAGAATAAATAATATATACATAAATAACAAAAATAATGATTATAATATACATAGATAAAAAATAAAGGATAACTAGACAACTAGATAAATATACGAAATGTAAATAATATGTCACTACATAGTATAAAACTAAGTCGCTTCCCGTCTGTCTGTTCTTATGTATGCTTAGATCTTTAAAACTACGGAAGGGATTTTGATGCGGTTTCTTTTAGTAGATAGAGTATGTATAAAACATGCATAATATAGGTAGTAGAAAAATACTGATAATTTTAGAGGTTTCTAATATGATGACATTAATAAACACATTTTTTGCGCTTCTTTTTGCAACTTAGAATGGCAAACAAGCTGACGGCCCACCTGATGGATGGTGGTAACCGTCGCTTATAGACACGAGCAGTACCATGTACATAACATAGGGTACTTTTTCGCCCATGATATCCCCCAAGCGTCGTCGTTCCTGAGGACTCTGGTGTTAATCCTCTGTACCCTGTAAATTCACTGCCATATCTCATTCTTCAAAATAAAACACAGACATGTAAACAATTGCTTTACGGTAGAAACGCGAATGGAACAGAGGTGCCGAAGCATACGACTTTTGTACAAAGACTCTCTCAGGTTTACATTGCAAACGCTGGCTGAATCTTACGAGATAGACTTAAACAATTTACTACAGTATTATACACCTTAACAGTGTACAAAAAAGTCCGCGATGGTATATGTCTATCTCTTAGGGATAGCCCTATACTATATATTAATATCGATAGTAACTATTTATTTATCCTTTACTTTTACAAGAAATAATGACTTATTTACGAAGCGATTTTAAGTAATACAGCATTAATCCTTATTCAGGGGGGAAAGGGATTGTTAGTAATGGGGTCAAATAACCCCATTATAAGCAATATATATACTCTGTCAGGTTGACCTCCACGTGGTTCCCCTTGGAAACCATCGTGGTTAATTCTAGTTGAATTTGTCAGGATGGGCTAACTGACATGCTTTCATTCTCAACTATCATCGCTCACTGGTGCTTCGCTAGTGTATACCGACAGCGCAGGCGGGGTTACCATACCATTATCACCTATTCAAAAATCCTTATCCAATTATGTACCTTAAATACATTCTGCATTTAATATAGATCAATATGGTCCTTTTCAGCATGTAACTTAAATGAATATTTTCGAAGATATTACAAATTTAAAATGCAGGGATATAGCGGTTGCGGCGGTACCGGCCGGGAGGTCGGCGGCGAAGCTGGGACGAGTCGTTAGTAAATAAATAAAGTATAAAAATTATGACTAGGTACTATTGTTGTAATTAGTTCATAAAGTATAGTTTGTGAACCGATTTACCACGTTAACAAGAAGAGACTACCTATTTACTCATCAATGAATTACCATTAATAAAAATAAGAAATAATGAGTTTATCTTTTTCTAAATTTGAACTATTAACTATTAAACTTTGTTTACCTGATACAAAAGCGGTAAAACATATTAGCTCTCATCCATTCGCAAGTAGTTGTTTATCTTATTTAGGGATTATAGAAAAGTAAAAATAAAAATCTATTGAGTGCGAGTTGAACTTACAAGCTGATAGTTCTGTATAAAAATATACAAATATGAAATATACCTTTATTGTATTTTGCATACGAAAAAAAAACATCTGATAGTTATTATTATTGAAATTTTAATTCATATCTCATTTCTTATTTTGGATCATAATTGTGATTAAAACATGGACCGCATAACTTTATTTTTAGAGGTTTCTTAATAATTTCTCAAAAACTATACTTGTTAGAAAATTAGTAATAGAATTAGTCAATTTTTCTTGTAACATTCGCATATACCTTTATTAACAGGTGGACCGTATGCTTGTATGCCACCTCAATGTTATAAAATAAAAATTACTTCAGAACCTTCGAAGTTAAGTGAGATAATGTTATTTTTTTTCACATTTTCTATCATACAGTTACAAAATGTATTATAAAAATCAGTTTTAATATAGAATATAGAAATGCAACCCTTTGAAATGATACCGCACTTACACTAGTAGAAAAATTTATGTACGTAGAAAAATATATGTATTATATATATATATAATATGTAAATATTGATTAGCCTTTTTTAAATTTTGAACACCCTAGAAAAGAAAAGAAAATTATTTTTGCAATATATGCAGGCCTATGATTTGTATAACTATCCCCTATTTCAACAAATACATTAGTAATTGTCAGTGTGACAGACGAACAGTCGCACCATAAGGATTCCTTTGTATATTTTTGATGCCATGAAACCATAAAAGCAAAAAAATTTCTTTAGAAAGCAATCTTATACTATGTTAACTTGTTTGTAATTTTAAATAAATACATTGGTTATATGGGAATAACAAAAAATACTTTTAAACCGGTCCTTATTTGTACGAGTACAATGAAGACACCATAAATCGTCCGATAGCGTAATTGTTTTTTGTTATTATTTAACGAATTCTTTATACTTGCTATTGTTTAACGTACTTGTAATTTACTTGTACTTGTAACCGTTTAGACTTGTGTTTAGACATCGATTTTAACAAAATTGAATAAAAAAAAATTGAAATTGCAATAAATCTAGATTAAATAAGTAATATTCCTGGTCGCCGCAAACAAATCTTGATTAAAAATTTACGTAATACCCAGTCATGACTATGTCATGGAATATAATGTAAATAAAGAAACGCGTCACTACTAGGATGTTATTACAATATTAATTATGTAAGGTTAGGCACAAATCAATAGACACGTTTTATAAAAATAATATTCCACGTCCATAATTTACTGTAGTCATGATAATAAATTAACCTATTACATGAAAGCCAAAACAACTATTTTTTTACATCTTTAAACATCTTTTAGTAAGGAGGTTTTTAATTGGTATAAATTTTTTTGGCTATTATCCTATTACAACGTTTATTTTGAATCTAGAAAATGGTCCTACCTTAATTTTGTGTTATTCATCTTGATTTTAATCATGTGCATGTTTTTAGTATTAATCTTTTTATATAGTTATAATGATAACTATCGCTAATCGCTGTAATGTAACATGAATAGGTAGGACGAGGTTTGTTAATTTTACATATAGCTGTTTATTGAGTTACTAAGAAAATTTTTAATACCATTTAGGTGGCAAACAATCATACTATATATATAATCATAGCATAGGTGGGCCACCTAATGGTAAACAGTTACCATAGCCTATGAATGCCTGCAATACCAGGGACATACTCGCTTGTTGCCGATCTTGAAGAAACATAACTTCTTTACCCCTTTCTTTAAGAACATCATGCTGTAGTATCTTAGAAGAACCTCGACATTTTCAACATTTATAGTCTAAGAGGAAATTAATTGTAAAAATTAAATAATATTCTGCTTAGTTACTTCTTTATTAAAACACAATTCTTTATATAACACCATAGGCATAATGCAGTTTTGAGCTCAAAAGAGACTAACTACAGGTAGACTATAGAACAAGAGTTCAGTATATATAATATATATATATATATATATATATATATATATATTTGTAGCAGAGATCATATAATTATATTATATATAAGATAGAGCATAGTTAGATTAAAAATATAAAATAATTCATTATTATTATGATTATTATGAAAGATCTAGTTTAGTCATCAGATTCTAAGAAAGGTTCATAAATACTTTTGAATTCGCCATTGGGGTCATATTTAGTTAACATCTGCTGCCAGTATTCTGACTCATTTTCCCTAATATGTTTGACAACTTTCCTGGCGCCCTGTCTTTGCCACTGGGTACATTTTGAGCACGCTGTCTGCATACCATCTTTAATGTGTTCTGAAACATAAATTTATATAAGTACTCATTTAATTATAATTTAGAATTATTACTCATATAATGTATAATTTTAAGATATTAACGGTCGGTTGTAGTTTCACACCGTTTTTTTATGTAAGTAAAATACACCAAAATGGTTGAACTAAAACTACAAAAGTAATTTTAATTTAACCATTACAAACAATCAATCAAATGTATTAAAATTTATATAAATAATATTATATTATAGATTTACGAGTGTATTATCATACTTGTACACGTCTTCTTAATATATTATTAAGAAGACGTGTACAAGAAGTATCCACAAGTAAACTTATCCCATTACAATGAAGAAATTTGTCACAGGATGGCAACTGAGTTCATCTATGGTGTTAATTAATTAATGTAAAATTTATTGTAAATTATATAAGGCCTTGTCATACGAATTGGTAAAAACTCTAATGTCTGACAAGTTGTTTTATAAATAAATAAATTTTATATCGATTTATAGTGTTACGTGTAGTGTAGTAGTTTAATATATCGTATATAGTTTAATATATGAGTATGTGCTTAAATACAAGGAAATGGGCCAAACATATAAACTGAAAAACTGATAATCGATTGAGAAAAAAGGTTCGAGTTGAGACCTTATGCAGACACAAGTAGTATGCGTTATGGTGAAATGTGCTACTTTGTGGCAAAACATGAAGGAGATCTATATTCTTGTATGTTGAAAGAACGTATAAGAAGAAAAGTATTTACTTACTTTTAAGCTCTTTTCCTTCGGCAGTGCATCGTCCAGTTTCCAGAATACACTTAACGTAAGCGACCAGTAGTCTACGATTGTTTAAGATCTCATCTATGTTAACATTATCATATCTGTCTGTATATTTAGATTCTTCTGCTAATGCTAACGTTGCTACAGCAAGTAGCATTGATATTACTAACAGTTTCATACTGAAAATTGAATTATGAAAATTATTAACATGTAAGCTACATAAATGTTTTACGTAAAAACAATTATTTACATAGTAATAAAATTAATATAAAATTAAAACGTGATTTAATTGCGTAACAAATACATACACACACACACACACGCACACATGAAAAAATGCGCGTGTGCTCGTGCACGCACGTACGCACACATATGCACACACGCACACATGTACACACACACAGAACATGAAATGTCCAGGGAAAAAAGTGCTGGATTCTTTCAAGTTGAGAAATTATTCGAAAGAATACGCACAGCCACCTTTTATTATCCCATCGCTCACCATCGACAAAGAAATTATCTTCATACGCTAGAACTCAAATTGTTGCGTATAGTATGGTTTCAGAGCAATTTTCTCCCGCGAACGCTCAGACTGTGGAATGAACTTCCCGCCGAAGTTTTCCCTAGAGACTACAGTATGTGGTTCTTCAAAAAGGGTGTAATAAGATTTCTTCATGTGGCCTCCTATTGTTGCAGGCGTTCATAGGTTACAGTGACTATTTACCATTAGAGGGGCTGTACGCTTATTTGCTACCTTCGTGGTGTAAAAAAAATTCGAGTGTAAACGTTCTAAGAGAATTTTATTTTCATTTACGGTTCTATTGAGTTTAGGAACAATTTTGTACGTTGCTTTTTTTAGTATAAATAAATAAATTATTTAATTATTCTGTACTTTTACTCTTTACTATTTTAGTCTAAAACCTTACATAATTCAGCATTTATGTATCAACTTGCCTTATAGTTTTCAGTCAATTTTAATAAGCAATCAAAATGAACATTGTTAAATTACTTACATTTAAATTTATGGTGGAAAATTCCAAGTGGTCTATAAATAGTAATCTCTTATAGTTATCACAGTGACTGCAGAATCTCAAAGGATGATTTCATTTATATTGTAGGAAACTGGAGTAACTTCGGATAATTGCGGGAAACAACATGCGTAGCTATTGTTGAATCAATTCCGCAATCAACGCCATCAATAGAACTGACTTGTTCTATTATGAGCCGGTGTGATTGCATTATTTGATTCACAATTCAATGAACAATGGTGATTTTTGATGGAAGGATTCAGCTAAAGTTTGATATTCAATTATGCTTAATTGGCTGAATAGACTTGGATAAAATGTAATACCAAGATACTTAGACTGATACTTATATATCTTTATCTTAATTCACGAAAACAAAGTAACATGCAGTTTTTTATTCCTTGTATATTTGAATTAAGTTCACAGAAGAACTATATAATGGGTACATTTTTACTTATATAACAGTAACATTGGATTTTTTATAGAAAAATGTCGATAATTTAGTATATGACTGAATTGAGTCATAAATTTTAAAAACAGAATTTTTGTCAAAATTAAAAGTTATCGTTTTTAATAAAACTAAATATAGAGTAATTATTAATCGTGTCATTACATAGATACCACTTATAAAATAGCTGATTTTTACAGAAGTATCAAATAAAGCAGATAATAATAAATAGAATTCAAATATCGCAGGTCATAAACGGAATATATCTAATATAAATAAAAAGAACAATCAAATTCAATGGTCATTGTCATATTTCATTACAATGATTTACACTACTAATTATACTTCTATAATTGATCTAAGTATAATGGGGTTTTACCTTTTCTTGTATAATATTAAAAGTTAAAAGAAATTTTTTAAATTCATATAAAGTTATATAGTTTTACAATGCTAAATGAAGATGTTTTTCGTATATTTCGACTTGAACTAATTAAGAAGAAGGTTCTAGAACAGCGATTTTGTACGCAGTTACCCCCGCAGGGTAACCCCTCACTACCTATCAAGCGACGATTTCAATTATTTTACAGGAAATCAGTAGATTTTTAATTTAGTAATTCTAATTCAGATATATATATATATATATATATATATATATATATATATATATATATATATAACACAAAGGCAGCAATGCAAATATAAAAACAGCTCATAGGCTCTTCTACACAAACACGAAGACCAGTTTTCTATTCCTTGTCACGCAAACATTACTAATTAAGTAGTTTTGTATATAAATTTATTTATGTACTAGTTAGGTAATGCAGAAAATCCTAACTTTAATCCCCCTCCTTATACCTATGGTATAAAGATAACATTTTATAATATTTTGTGTCAATACTTAGTCACCTTTCATGCCTGGTCCCTTATCTATAAATGATTTTTTTTATACATAATCTAGCATTTATTCGTGACTTCTTTTTTAATAGGTGATAATGGAATGGTAACCCAGCTTGCGCTAACAGTATAAGTTGGCGGGGCACCAGTGAGGTATGATAGGTGAGAATGGTAAGGCAGATCAGTTAGCCCATTGTGACGAATACACCTAAAAAGCAGCACAATGATTTCTAAGAGAGACCACGTGGAGGTTGGCCTGACAGAGTATATAGCTAGTTATCGGACTGGTAGTCTGCATTACTAACAATCCTTTTTCCCCCAGCATTTATTCGCAACTTAGTCCGTGTGCCCGGGATATGATGATGGATCTATCTAAGTGTATGCCAAATTTTATGGTGATTGGTTGTGTCATTAAAGCCTTTAGAAGTAACAAACCAATAAACAAATTCACGTATTTATAATATTAAGTATGTTTGTATGAATGGTTCCATACTCATAAGTAAATAGTAAATAAATATGTAACAGAAAATTAATAAACCCACTGTCGAAATAATTGCAATATAATTGTCGGAAACGACAAAAATATTGTCAGTGATTTTATTAATTTCCCGTTACATATAATATGGATATAAATACTATCGGATAAAAAATTTACATAAGTCTTAAAAATAATATTGAAATCCTTTTTTTTATTTGATAATATTTTACATTACATGTTAATGGAAACTTTTTAAGATACAAGCTACCTTTCTTGTAAACCTAGACAACAGCCTAGGTTTAGTAGAAAGGTTTCTTTATATATAATAATATATTAAAATATGTAACCTGTATTTTAATATATTGTTGTGTATATAAAAGTAAAAAAGACGAGATTTTATTTATCAATATATATTAAGAATATTCAATGGTTTAGAAGTTTGGAAACATAAAAATAAGTTTATCCATTTATAATTATGCATTGAAACGATTTGGTTTACACTATTTCTGATACTTTTTGTATACCACTTAAATTTACAAAAGTGGATCCTCTCACTTAAATTACACAATTGCTTAAAAGCATTAATTAATACTTCTATATCTTAAATGTCTCAGCGCAAAAAGCTACATCTGCTACATAATTTGTTACCGCCTCAGACATTTAATAGAGTCGTTTCGTATAATGGACGTTTATGATGTTTTTAACATTCGCTATGAAAAATCACACATTATTATAACATTATAGTTAAATTGTCCTCGTAACATAACATTTTATAGGTTTTCAATTATTCTATGAATCATTAAATACTAATTTCAAACATTATAAAAAATTAATAGTAAAATGTTAACGCCTGCTATAATTGTAATAACATAAATCTATCCTCTATTATATTAATTGCCTTCTGTACATCGTAAGGTCTCTTAGAGAACAATAATACTTTATATATTAAAAGTATAAGCGTTGAAAGGAGCAAATATGTACTTCAGAAAGAAGCATCTGCATCTACACATTGTAATAATAATTAATAAAACGTGAATTATAGACAATTATACATATAAATTTTTTAACAAATTTAGACAGCAACTTAAACGCCTTTAGTTTTTATACAGAGACTTAAAAAAAAATTTTTTTGATGGAAAGGTGCAATGCACTCCTTGCATCTTGTTGCCCACATCCGTGAATTTTATAAAATTTACCTATTTTACAATTTTTCGTTCTATGGATATCCATTTATTTCTATCACATAAGTCAAAATATTTTCTTTTATTTTCATTTTCAACCGACTCCAAAAAAGGAGAAGGTTCTCAGTTCGGTTACATTTTTTATTATGTTAATGAAAAGAAAAACCTCCGATCGTAGAGAAAAATCACTTCTCACGCGTGAAACTGCTTTTATCTGGTAATATAAAAATAGTAACACCCAATACGTACTTCAGGAAATACGTTCAGTAAAAAAATGACACCGCTACGACAAAATCATGTTTTAAATTCTCATTGTCAAACAAAACAGCCGTGATGCACAATTGCGGTTTGCTTGTGATTTACCGATCGCATGTGACCAATGATTGCATGATGACGTTTCGTTCGTGACGTTTCGAAGCTAAGTTTAAATACAATTTTGAAAGATGGTTCAACTCCCCTACCTGGGGAAATCGCCCGGTTTTCCCCTAAGTATCACGTTGCGTATGCACTTATAACTTATACATATCATCATTGTGTCATTTGTGATAATTTTATGAGCCATGATGCCAAAGAAAGTCATACGACACACTGACCCGCCAAACTATAACACCTCTTTTTTTGCAGCGGGGGTTTTTTAATAAAGATATTTGTTAACATTTTTAATTTTGGTTCAATCAGTACTAAGTTATTATTATTGGTGCAGTTTCCTATACTAATGTAAGTAATAATTAAATTTATTATGACTTAGTTTTTCGTTATTTGGTGTGTTTGATTTAACGTTTAAATTTTCAATAATAGTGTTTCCTTCACCTGTACAAACCTTATTGGCTGATGTATTTAATTGTGTAATTGTCTCATTTGTTTTTTAAAGCTATATGTTTGCTTTAAAAAAAATGTAATATGATTGTGATGGGCTTTCCTCGATATCAAATTTTTGTATGACAGGCCACAATATATTAATATAAGAGAAGAAAAAACCAAATAAAACTCTATATAAGACACCTAGCCAGCAGAGCGTGCTAATAAATAAATACCGCTAGATATATTATTCAACGCCATCTAGTTACAACCTAATCAGAGCTTATACTCTGGGCACTGAATAACTATAACACTATAAAAAATAGCAATACCGTGATTTAGATTATTCATTAAAAAAAAGGAAAAAAATATATAGAGAGTAGACGAGGCTCCAACTCACTATCACTACCAAGAGCAAGAAAGAAAACGAAGACAGAAGACCACGCCTCATTCAAACGAGGGCAGAGCTGTGACCCGGTAACCTAGGGGTAGTCGACCCTGGAATTGAAGCCGGAGTAAGGAAGTCCGCCCCGAAGCCTCCATCCTAGGAGAGTTCAGAAGACTTGAACCAAACTAAACAACTGATAAAAAACATGTTTTTATATGTACATATTATACATAAAAAATACCCAGACACCCATGAACACAAATGTGTGTATTACATTGGAATCAGACTCACGACCAAATCAATCGTAAGCTTATATACTTTTCTATACTTTATATTTTTTATATACTTTTGGGGAGAGCTATGAAAATATAGTATTTTCTTGAAAGATCTAACAATATCATTAAAAGCGATTAAAATAAGCCACTGAATTGGATCAGATGATGTTATTTTTAATAACATAAAAGGCCAAACAAGCATGCAGCTCACCTAACACCACGTAACACCGGAAAAATTGCAGCTGTGTTGCCGGCCTTTTACGAAAAAATATGCTCTTTTCTTAAAGATTTAAATGTCGTATCTGTTTGTAAAAATTGTCTTTTTTTTAAAGCACTGAGGTGGCACACAAGCATACGGCCCACCTGATTGTAAGCGGTTACCGTAGCCTATGAACGCCTGCAATACCAGGGGTATTAGAAAAAAACGACAATTTAATATAAAAAAATAACTTTAATTTAGAAATATTAATTTAAAAATTTTTACATTAGTAAAAATTTTAAAATATTAAATGTGTTTAAATTCATAATGCAACCATTACTGAGTAATATTAATGATGTAGATGAGTAATATATATTATTTTAATAATTTATTCCTCTGGGATGACGACGCCGTTTGCCTTTGCCCTATCTTCGTACTTCTTCCTCCATTTACCTGAAGGGTCGAATCTGTCAGTCAGTTTGTGCCAAATGTCAAGTTCATTCTTAATCAGATACTCGATCGCTTTGTAGGCACCTTTTTCTTGAGCCTCAGTGCATTTTTCACAGCCGGTCTCAATAGCCTCTTGTAGATGCTCTGTAAATAGCAATGACAAAGATATCTAGCTGTAACCGTTGGTTTCACTCGCATTAATTATAAAAGTAGTGTCTTACATTTATAGAAATCCATTTAAATGTTCAAGCGTGGTTGAGTAACAAATATCCAAACATTTTCACGGATTTATTATTTACTAACGCTTTGCCCTCTACTTCGTACACGTGGATTTTTAAAATAGAAAAATCAATGAAATATACCTCTTCTGAATGACATGTCGAGACAAAATATAAACTATCTTTTAAGTTAAACTTTAAGAAATACAACTGTAAGCCCCGTGAACTGTTAAAACCATATTCATTTGAATGCAGTAGCTTTCCGTAACATTCAGACAAGCAGACAAACAAAATTCCTGAATAAATATTTTTTGCTTCCTATTATTACTAATAAGACCCCTTTTTAATTTATCATCTAGTTAAAATTCTATTATATTAATGAAATAAGACAGCAGCTAATTATATAACAAACTATTTTACTACTCAAGGAATAATGACTATATTGTACTAATTATTGATGTCCGATAAATATAATAATACGATAAAAATTATAAAATCAATGCTTAAATAAATAAAACTTATTATAATAATTCTTTGTGAATTCGTCACGATGGACATACTATCCTAAATTGATCCTCGTCCATCACATCGTATACTTCGCATATACCGATAGCACAGACAATGTTACCATTATCATACATTAAAAACCTATAACTCACCTTTTAATTCTTTTCCTTCAGCTGTGCATTTACCCTTATCCAATATACAATTAACGTACGCTTCCAACAGGCGTTTGTTTTCGAGGATTTCTTGAATGTCCAGATTGTCATACTTGTCAGTGTATTTGTCGCTGGGACGGGCCACCACCGCTGCCACCAAACAGCAAACCACAAGTACAAACTTCATTGTTTTCTTACCTGTAATATAAAAAACGCAACCATAAATAAAAAGAAAGAAGAAGAAAGAGCGAATAAAGGATTTATTATTATTATATTTACATATTAGTCCCATAGAAATTTTATGAAAATCCGTTCAGTAGTTTAGTTTTAAAATCAAAATAATTGGTTTTGCTACAATTGAAATCGATTTTTTTTATAGTATACTAATATAATATATTATAATATTTTTTTTATAGAATTTAATAATGAGTAGTATGTATAATATATGACACTTTACAACCAAAAAGAACTAGGCAAAACTTAAGTTTATACAAAGCTAATTATTATGTACATTAAGTACATTTAATTTAACCTTATTTTTTAATATTCTTGATTTTTAAAGAATGGAAAATTTTATTCAGAATGTGCAATATAAATTAATAAATACTATCGAAATATTCTTTGAGTCTCGTTGCTATAGCTACCATAATTTTATTGTTATTTTTTATCCGCAGTTCTACTAGTATTACATAAAGAATCATCTTGATGATGATGTTCTCCAACTTTACTAGTATTATATAAAACATATACACATGTTCTATTATCTTTAACATTTTAATAACCTTTGCAAAAAATTTGTATGCGTTTAGATAAAGCGAAAGTTGTAGTTATTAGTATTAAAAAACATTTGTACAGACCCAATTTTAAATATACTATTATTATTATAAAAAAAAAAAAAAACAGAAAACATTACTTTTTTGCGCTATAAAAAGAGTACTAAATAAATTTTAATATATAAAATCAATAATTTATACCCCTGAGCATATAAAACTCAATGTAACAGGGGGCAAGCGCTTCTTGAATACTCGACCTTGAGCCGTATGGGCGTGGCTTGACCTTTTTTCCCTCTACCCGCTAACAATTATCACGATGACAAGTTATGCAGAGAATTGTCGAAATAAACTGCTAAGAAATTAATTTTAGAACTAAATGTAAACAATATGCGAATATAAGATGAATATGATAATATGTCATGAAATTTAGTTTACATTTTGTATTTTGGATGGAGATAGGATATTGATTAATTTTGTCCCGAATAATCAATCCCGGTCATACCGACGAAGTCGCGCGTAAAGACTAGTATTAATAATATATATCCTAATAACTGTAATCCTAAATAAGGTTAATAGAGATTTTTATTGACTGTTACACCGGACACACACGGGGACACATCTTATCGTATATATTCGAATCTAACGTACCAAACTACAAACATACCTGACTTTTTAGGATAATATTAGGTCAGTTGGGCCATCGTAACGAAAACATTAGGAACTAATGACGATGTTTTTTTTTGGGGGGGGGGGGGGGGGGGGGGGGGGGGGGGGGGGGAGAAATGTCAATTTCATTTAACTTAATATTTAATCACGTCAAAACAAAAGTCCTTAATACAATACAATATGACAATACAATGTTATTCACTTAAAATGCACTATTCAAACACTAGGTCACTATTCCTCACTTAACTTACAATGTCATACATAATTACTTATGGAGCCGTAAAATTATAGACCACAAGTTGAAAATACAAAACTAAAATCTCTGAATAGGCGACATGACAAAACACGTGCTTATGCCAACGGAACCTACCGTTAAATCCAGTAATCAGCAGTAGCCTAGAGTGACTTATGATATTCAGTGTGAAGTAACCAGTATATATAGTGATCGTCGTTGTATCTAAAACATCTAATTTGCCCCTCGTTACTCCATTATTTCATTTGCGTATGATGCATAAAAAACTATATACAGGACGTTACATATTGCATACACATCGTGGACGATATTTCACGTATATAAATATGCTTTTTGTTAGTTAAGTATTAATGGAATTTTTAATTTTTAATAGTGAAATTTTTATTACAAAACTCTCTAATCTGAAATTACATTTAGAACACTTATAATTATGTTGACATACAAACTAAGAAAGATTGTTTTTTCTATTTATAAACAGTATAAGGTATATTACGTTATATTTGAAAATGATAAATATTAAGATTAGTCAGGGTACAAAATAAGAAGAATACAAAATACATAAGTGTATATATGTTTGACTTTATTAAAAATATTATTTTCCAGTCAACCTTAGGGAAGTGTCAGAGTACTCGAATGCTTGAATTAAAAATGTTATTATTTAAATAAGGAATAATGTCAAATAATAATGCATGAGTTTATAACCCCAATAAAACCATAACCCATCAGGGTCCATTAGTTTTTTCATAATCATAATCTGTTGCTTTCTGGGTGAAGGTAACACTCGGCAATCTAGATTCGACTTATTAAGAAGAATTTATTAATATTATTTAGCAGAAAAAAAAAATCACCATTGAGTTGAAAAGACAAAAGTTGTATCTTTCTGGAAATACGGAAGCAGGAAAAGCGTTCCGCTTCTTGGTTATTCACACCAAGAATGATGACGTGAACTATATTATTAATCATTTTTTAAACAACCTGTACATGGTAATTATTAAAGGGGAAACAGACACAATTCTTCCGTTTTTCCAAGACCATCTCCTTGAATGCACGTGCATTATTATTTATATTATTTTATTTTCTCAGAAATCGTTTTATGTTTTAAGTAATAAAGTAACAGAAGGCTAGAAGCTAAACTATAAGTAAAGCAAGGTTATTATAAAATATTTAATATTTATATGTATCTACTACTACTATATCTACTATAATATATATTATCTACTTTGTATCACATTTTACGAAGTATATTAAAAAGCAAAAAACAAAATATTTATTTTTTCTACGTTAATCATCAAATTGTTCTAAGGAGATGGTGACTTTGGCGGAGTAGCGGTTTAAAAATTGCCTCCTTTACGATAATTGCATGTTCGATGTCTATCTCTATATAAACATTAGTATTAATAAGTACATCTGAGTTAAGTTGGTCTTTGGCTTAGTTTGGGAGTAAATAGCGCTAAAAGACAATTTATCTAAGTTATGGCACAGAGAAAATTTTAATTCCTCTTGTGGACAAGCTGACAGCGTGACAAAGCTGGAGCTTTTCATAGAGATTATAAACATTTTAAAGAATAAAGTAAGAAATGTTATAGTTTTAAATATAACATTTCTTACTTTATTTATTGTACTATTAAAAACTACGGGAAAACTAAAGCGGTCATTGGCATGGACGGCACAATAAGGAAGCGACATGTAATGAAAAATTTATATTCAAACAAAGAATTCTTCCAAATATATAGATAGAAGGCTATTACATTAATAGATATACCTGCATATATATTTAAAAAATTGGTCAAGTGTGTTATTGGCTCATATAATAGGATTTCCGTAACGAGATTTCCTGGGCAATAAAAAGGAAGAAGATCAAAATAAATGTAAGTACATTTTTATTCCACAAAGGTGGCAAACAAAAAAACAAACATACAGCCCGTTTGATGGTAAACAGTCACTGTAGTCTATGGACGCCTGTCACGTGCGCGTAGCTGACTCCGAAGAAACCTTAATATACCTTTTTGTAACACCCCATATTGTAATCTCTAGGGAAAACCTATTTAAGATATTAAGTGACTCTGACATTAAAATATGTTTTAACTGACGAAAAGGGGTTTTAGTTACGAATACTAGCAATGCCGTAGCTAGCAATATAGGTCAGGTTGACTTCCACATGGTTCTGTGTAGAAATCATTGTACGTCAATTTTTGATAAATTTATTAAGATGGGCAAACTGATTTAAGTAATAAAAATACGTCAAGAATATAAAAAAAAAATTAAAAACAAAAATCTGTAAGAAAATGCTTGCTAAACTCTTTTATAATTATAACCACCACCAAAAACAACAACCAGGATGAGTATATTAGAGGAAGTATGAAAGTAGCGTCAGGAATAGAAAAAACAAAGGGTAACGGTCTAACCTAGTATAAACACGTGATAGGCAGGGATGAGAAGCATGTTTTAAGAAAGGCATTAAGTATGAATGTGAATGGCTATAAGCGTAGAGCAAGGCCTAAAAAGCCTTGATGTACTGTGTGTAAGATGATATTGCCAGGATGAAATTAAGAGAGAAAAATGAAAGAGAAAAATATATTACGCTGATCCCAAATTACAATTTGGATAAGGGTATGAAGATGATGAACCACAACAGCTTCTTTTTGCTGTGGTTAAAAACAGTTTATCTATTATAGACTAATCCTATGATTGCAGTTAGAAATACAAACTCTAGGTATATTTAGTAGTTGTATAGTCAGACCAATATTTGTCTCTGAAAAAAAGTATGATGTAAGCTGTAGTAGTAAAATGTTTAGGAGTAGAAGATGATTCTATACAATATGTTAATTAAAAAAAAAACAATAAGGCATTATATTAATTGTAAACATAAATATTTTTAACAAACATGTTGTTTTCCTTGAGTTTATTTATCCAGAAGGTCAGTTGTAGTCATGACATGAGGACAAACTATGAGATATGACACATATAGCTGATCTTATAAATTAGATTCGACAAGAATACTGATTAAACACCCATTTTATATGCTAGGTTAAGCAATATTGCTTGTCATTGATGCATCTTGCAGCCATCGTATTATTTATTTATCAAGACATTATATGACGTTGGATGGTATATTATAATGGTTTTAAATATCTAAACTCAAGTCTAGACATAGTTTAAAAGGTTCTTTATTTAGCTGATATTTGTATATAATGCTATATCTGCACTAATTATAAATCGTTTGTAAATGATTGTTTTTAATATAAAGACTTAACTCTTGTATAATATAATCTTTTTCCATATTTCCATCACCGTCATCAAAATCTATTCACATACAGCAGAAGTTCAAGTCTCTTCTTATAAAGGGAGAATACTAACCCTACTATTGCCACGCGAAGTGAAAATTGATAATACACAGTTATGTTGACTTCCAACCGGTCCTCCCTGAAATCTTGGTTAATTCCTTTTGAACTATGGACCAACTAATGTGACTTCATCTCTATTGTTTAATCCTCCAATAACGTCCTTGCCATTGTATACCATTAACGTCGGCTGGTGCATCATATTTTTTTTTTGTTATATTTTTTATACGAATTATATATGTAATAATAATTATTAATAACAATAATAATTAAATATATTATTTTTAGGCCTTAATTGTGTTAAAAAACTGGACGCCAAAACTAAATTTGTTTTTAGAAGTTATAAATAATTTATCAAAAAATGTATTAATTAGAAACATCGTTCTAGTTTTCTTGTAATATTCATGTATACTTTAATGAACTGTAATTATTTCAAATTTTTACGTCTTGCAAAAATGGTGGGGGGAGGGAATAAATACATTAAATATTTTTCAATCATTTTCATGTGTGGGTCAACAATATTTTAAATAGATAGCATTTGTAATAGCAGAAATAAAGCGCTGTAACAAACGGACGAATAGACGGACAGCCGAACAACGTCGTACCATAAGGAATCCTTCGTAAATTTTAAAAGTAACTATCACTACGCTGACCAGCCGGCCATGAAAACTACTTAGAATTTATTTTTTCTGAAGAAACCTAGTGTCTACTAAAAAATGTCAACTAAGTTTTATTGAAGTACCTATGGTACCAACTTACAAAATATTAGTAAAATGGCCAAGCGACATTGTTCTTTGCTATCTTACTGAACTTTCATTTTAAAGATAAAACCGAATGTATCCCATATTTCATCACCTTTTTTTAAATTCCTTATATAATAATAATTTCTGGCTCGATAATGTTGACTCTACTTGCAGGATATGCTAACCTTTACTCTATGACGTTACGACTATGTTAGTTACTTAAACATAAGGTAATGCAATTAGCAAAACAAATAAGTATTTAGGTACATTTGCACAGAAATCTGTCTACCTCAAAGTAACAATGATGTAATAATGTATTGACAAATAATATTATGCTGTATATTTATTAGGATATTTTACAGTTTAGCAGATAATTATACTTGCATATTAATTAAGGCCATGTGATCCCGACATAGATTAGACCACACCTTGCTTTCCTGTGGGTGTCGTAAGACGCGACTAAGAAAACTTAGAGGTGGGTAGCAGCGTCCCTCCTAAAACATCTCTAAAAGCCTAACTGCGGTTGCCAACACGACTGCCAAGCGTGGCAACTACTCGTAAAACTCCTCTTATGGGGAAGGCTTATGTTCAGCATTCGACATTGGACCTCACTGGTTAAAATGATTAAATACAGCCAGTTTTTACGGAAAGTGTAATAAGTAAAAAAAGATTTTTTTATGCAACTTAGAATAGCAAATAAATTGATGGCCCACCTAATTAAAAGTGGCAATCGTCACTTATAAACATAAACAGAGTAGCATGGATGTATGAAAGTATACTGTGGCCCCTGGAACTCTATAAGTTGTCATTCCTGAGGACTAGTGTTATGCCTCTGTACTCTGTAATTTTATTGCCATATCCCACGCTTCTAACCGAAACACAGCCTCACAAACACTTTTGCTTCACGGCAGAAATACAAATAGAACAAAGGTACTCGAGCAGACTACTTTTGTTCAAAATAAATATATAATAAAGATAAATTTTGAACTAAAACTTTTCTCCAAAGAAACCTTAGATTTTATAAGCTAAGGTTATATTGCGTCTATTAAAAAAAAATATATCGGTATTTAATATTTTTAGTACCGTTACGCATTATTTTTGCTAATTCTAAATCGATGTTAACGTGATTATTTTGCAAAAATTTTTACGTAGGTACC